GATATATCTGATGTTGCAACAACACGAAATCTGATTGGTCAGAAGTGGACACACAGTATGTGAAACTTTAGAAAATTCGACCGTGATATGAAAAAATAAATGCTGCAGTATCGCAGGACAGGAAAACCCCACTGATGTGAACGCTTGTATTGACAGGATAAGGGTTTGAAAAAAATATTGACGTGCAAAAATAATCGCACAAAAAAAACATGAAAGGTGAAAGGACCTTAACAGTTCTCAAAGAAGCTTGAACAGGTTGACTGTACAAAACTGTTCTTTGGAGCAGTAAACAGATGGCAGCCATCTTACCTTAACTGTGCATCTCAAGAACTGTTATTCTGGGTATCACTGAGAGTTTCTGAAAAGAAATTAAAAATGTCACATCAGCAAAAACATGTCAGTCGCCTCAACTTTAGTCATTTAACAAAGCTAAGAAATTAAGCAGACCGCAAGCGACCAAATATAGGTAACAAAAAAGTCGCTGAATTCATAAACAGCCTATCAGCATGGTGGGATATGCAAGCGTCCAAAGGCTAATGATGTACTTAGATTGGTATCAGTATTGATATCAGTCAAAATGAGTTCAAAACTACCAGCATATTGAATATCAGCAAAAATCCAGTATCACCTGTCCTGTGCAAAATACCATAAAAGTGGCGTGTCCAACAAATGATCGCTTCTCCACTTCCCAATATATGAGCAACTGGAAATGCATTTAAAATTAAAACCTTGACACAGCCGTATTAAAAGACAAATTGAAAACCCATGAACTAACACTTACAAACAGCTGATGCTAGCTGCCACTAAATCAATAATATAAGCATCAGTATAAAGTTAGCTAGGGACCTAAATGGAGGTGTTTGGATGCTTGGCTGCTGTCTGATAGTAGCTGCTCAAGCTAAAAACTGCACAGTAACAACATTTTATGTAGTTCACATAAATTTTTAGGACATGGAGAATAACTGTGCATTACAACTGTACAGTAGCTTTACAACCTGAGTCACATCAGGATTTACTTGACAACTGCAAACAGGTAACTTGTCTAGATTAACTCGGCTTCTTTCCCTTTACTCCTGAGGCAAATTAAGACCTTTATCCAGAGTAAATGTTGGACATTATGCCCGAAAAAAGTAGCTTAGCTTCGTAATGTTGAAAAGGAACAAATCTAAATTCCATGGCTTTCTTCATCTAAGGAGAACATGTAAATTTAGAGAACTGAATGAGGCACAATATTGAGTCTTGTGTAAGAACTCCATCCCTCTGTCTACATGAAATCAATATTTATTTGTTTTCAGCTTCAAAACAGAAATAAATTGATCCACATGCTTCATCTATCGTCTCCTTGTTGTGATCTGTAAAAGGAAATGTGGCGTTTCTTTTATTGCGTGTACTTTGCTCTTAAGTTGTTGGCAGAACTTGGTTCAAACATTTTCTGTCTAATTGGGTGTTTTTGTGGATGCAGGATTAATCAGCCGCAGGGTATTTAATGTTGTTTGGGCAGCTGAGAGGTAATACCGCCAAGCCATTAACATATCATTAAAGAGTCCTAAGCACTGTAATTGCAGCCAGAACGCTGACACCACACTCTCATTAAGTGGACTCTGAGAAGGGAGGCGTCTTATTGTGATGGTTTTTAGTGAGATGTTGAGAAAAAACTGTGCAAGTCAGCACACCATTGTAACAATGGGACATCTACAGGTCGCACTGTGAAGAGAGATCATTTTCAAAATGCCTTGTAGGCTTCTGTCGAAGCACCTCGCAAAACAAGAAATCAAATATGTTAGCTTCAGTAGTGAAATGGACTGTTAGTGTTGGGATTTCTTTGGTCGTCTGATCATCTACATATCACATACTGCCAGATGCAGCCAGCTAAGGCAGTTTGAGGTCAAGTGTCTTGCTCAAGGAAGCCTCGGCATATGGACCCTCCTTCTGATTGAGAGACGACCGCCTCTACCACTGAGCCGCAGGTTTCCTTTTCCCGCTATGTGAACAACAGCTCTGTGGGTGTTAACCTTGGTTCAGCATGGTCAAATGGCATACTGAGCTCTATCTCAGTTTCTTCTACTGAGAAATGTTTATTAGGAGTGTAACGATTCATCTACAACATCAATGTATCAATCTATAGTCCTATGATCCAACTGCATTGATCTGAGCTCGGCAAGTTGGCCTTCCAGACGACATATATCAATCTAACATCATTTTAAAATGTAATAAATCGATTGTAACGATACTAGGAAATAATTCAATAGATGTAAGCATGGAAGACTGTACAGGGATGTGTTTTTTTTTTTTTCATTTTTAATAATAAAGATGTTAAGCGTTACTCAGTTCAGTCTACCTGTCTTTGATGTCATTGCCAGGTGCCAGCAGACAACAAAACATAGCATGGCGGATGGCGGAGGAGAAGTCGGCGAGCAAGAAAATTATCAGGTGACCGTTGCGATCCATTGTATGTTGCATTTGTACTATTTCTATGCTGAAATACAACAGCGGAAGTAGCAGAAATGTTGGATGCACTCACCATACTTTCATTGAAAATTTATTGAATATTTAAATTGAGAACAAAAAAGGTGAATCTCCTGTTAATTCAACCTGGAGTGCAGGTTTCACTTTATTCAAATAAGATGTGAGTACATTCGCTTTTAATTGTTTACTTCTTTGTTTATAACCATAATAATTTTATACCTGATTCACTTACAAGAAGCAAAAGGAATCTAGGAAATTTCGCCTGACCTGTCCAGTGTCCAGGTATTTGTTTTACAGTCACACTGGTTGAATTTTTGGTTAAGAAGTTACTGAATCGTTTCAGATCGTATTGTTCTAAATGAACCAATATTGTCCTTAAATCGAATTGGCAAACACCAATCATGAAACGAATCAAATCACTGTTAAAATGAATCGTTTATTCATTGTCCTAAGAGGATGAAATAAAGCAAACTGACTGGTGACTGAAACTAGAGCATAAAAATGTCAATAATGAAACTTGTCAAAATCTTTCTTGGTCAAATACTTTGCCTGATGTTAATTGTTGCTAACATGCCTGTAGACTTGAAAAATAGGGTCCAAATTCAACACTTCCCTGCGTGAATGAATGGATTTTCCTTTGGGGATAAATTAAATTCTTGTATTGTATTGTATTCCACTTGAATGAAGTGTACTTGCCAAGATCAGTTTTAACTCCTGTGGCGTGTCAGTTTCAGTGCGGAGGTGTCTCACTGTTACAGCTATCAAAACATTTGGTGCCTTTTTAAAAAATGAATTAGAAGCAGGCAGAGCTTAATTCTTACATTTTGATGATGACTTTCTCTCACTTGGATGATTAAATTTAACACGCTGCAGCATTTGCTTTGCTCTTGTATGTTCTGTTTTATGCTCAGTGGTAATAAAGCCAATGACAATGCTGATGACAAGTCCTCAGTTTTGGCTGTATAACGAAAATGGCAACCATCGAGGGTATGAGGGGTCTGACATTTCATACTTAACTTTATGAGCGCACCATCTGGGTACTCAGTGTGCGCTGGATTTTGCCATTATTGTCACCGAAAATGTACTTGGTACTCAAAACAAGACACAGCGACAGTGTTGTTCCATTTAATTCAACGGGGTTAATGATTTTTTCTCTAGGACCAGCTGTTGCTTTTGTCTGTTTCATTTTGGAGCGTAACTCATCAAATGCACTTGTGGCAGACAATGATACACACTTGAAAAGTTTTTTCACGAAACACCACAACCTGGTGAGTGTGACTAAAAAGTTAAGGCTCTAATTGAATTCACCTGATGAGTCTACGCAGCTTTAGGAGGGGGGGAAAATGGACACGAGGAGGCAGGTTTAAGGTGGATTTAAAGCTGACTAAACAAAAGGATTACGCAGAAATAATCGCATTAATATTAAGATGGATTTGACTTTTTGCTATTTTATTAGAGAAGTTTAACTTTAGGATGATAGTGGTATGTTTCGACCTTGTGGGTAAAACTTTGAGGAATTTTCAACAACCTTGTTTTGTTGACTCATCCTCAATATCTATACTTTGCAGGACTCATCTGTGTCAATATTTGACAGACTTTCTGGTTTAATTACAGATTCCCTTTTGTGCACTCGCCCAAATTTCAGGGATTATCCAATTACTGCCTGCGTGCCGACAAACAAGAGGGCCTCTTTGCCTTCCACTAATTGGAATGAGGAGTGGTGCCAGTGCTCAAAGGAGAGGCCCATTTCTGAGAATTATTGAATAGAGTAGGAGTAAAAAAATAAAAAAAATAAAAAAAGGATATGTGGTCTGCCTTCGGCTGCTGGTGGATTTCCTCTGATTTCATCAGAAAAAAGATGGCTGAGGCGATTCCCCCAGACAACAGCCAGCTGGTGTGTGTAGGCGAGTGAGCGAGCGCTGCTGCCCAAATCTCAGAGAAAAAGAAAGTGAAAGAATCACGCTGTGCCTCTGCATTTCATCCTCTGCATCAGAGTTACCCCCAAACAAGCTTTCAGATCACTTGCTGGTAGACAAATTTTGTGGTATATCATGGTGCTGCAAGTAAAATGTGTACTCCTTTATTACCGGTATGCAGTTATGGCGTATTTAATGGCTTTCATCAGATTTAATATGAGCAATTATACACGTGATAGGCAGTTTTAATTGCACTTCTAAGGTTTCAAGAGCCTTGCCTCTATTACTGACAGTGTTAAGCCAATTACGACCAATTCCAGCTTATTAAATGTTTCCGTTGATTATAATTCAGCATGCTTTCCTGCTGTTAGCTTGTTGTTAGTGCTGCTTCTTTGAGGGCTCATGTTGTGCACAAAAGCCATTTTGCCTTCCGTAGCGTTTCACTTAGTTTTTCCCAAATCTAGAGAGATTCTCGTTAAACAGCACAATTTGCAAGAAAAGACCTCTTAGAAATCTGGCAACTGGAGACCTTGTGTTTGTGTGGGTGCTTGTGTGTGGTATTCGAAGCACATACAACAAAAAAAGTGTTTGACAGCCAAATGAAACAAGAGATCTGCGGCAGGTTGATTCATAATTTATTGAGCAGCGCAGACGTTACAACAGGGGAACAAATGAAGCGGGGAACACAAAAGAGCATTATTTATTACAGGAGGGGGGAAAGTGTAGCCTGAGGGGGGTCGGATACAGTAGCACAACACTTGTACATTCAACCTACTGTACACAAACACACCACATTATTGCTGCTGTCAGATGGAAATCCCATTACTCTGGTTTTGATGATTTTTACCTGAACTTGAGGGGATTGTGACCTTGTAGAGCTCAATGAAGTTTCATAACCCGAGGACACATGAAAACAAAGCGTGGCTTTAAAAAATGCATGGCAGTCAGAGAGGAAATGAGGTTGTGCAGCCTTTTTTCTCGTTTTATTTTCTGACATTTTGGAAATGTGAGGCTGACAACACAGTCGGATCACAATCAAGAAATGCAGAAAAACCCGCACACACCCTCAGGCGAATCAGATGGATGGCAGCGATCTATTCAAACACAACTCCCCCTTCATGTTCAGCGCTGTCTTAAATTATTCAAACCTCTTGTTAGTTTATTCCCACCTTTGGATTCCCATGGACCCCCGCTGGTCCAGGATCGAATCCTTTCTCAGCCTCCTCTAAATTGTCTCCGCTGCTCTGCTATTCTCTCAGACCTCCTCGTGGCTCTGCAAAGAAGAGGGGGAAAAACTCTACGTAGGAGTGGGAACCTGAAAAATAAATTAAACCGATAATGCAAGCTAAAGAAACTTCCCAACCCGCCCACTGAATATTAGATCACAACAACTTACAGCCTTGAATTAATCATTAAACCTCAGCAGACCGTATCTATTGCAATTTCATCTTGAATAATTATCTGCCTGGTATCGGCGCAGAGGTAATGTCACACAATCGCAAGCATGTGTCAAACTCTTGTAATATCCAGGGATTAATAATTCAGTTTTTGGTCCCCGACAACAGTACATTTAGGCTTTATTAAGATTCTGCTCTGGAGGAGAGAGCCAGCAGCCTCTTTTACAGCAAATACAAACACACGGTTGACATTTAAACCAAAATCCCGGAGCACCCAAGTGGACCCAACAGGGGCAGGATAATTTGAATGTCCTGCTTAATTGGTTGACACCGAGTTCACTTCAGGCTGAAAGTTGCCGTTATTAAGCATTTTGAGCCGGCCAAAATGTCCCAGACCTAATTTGTGAGTGAACAGGAATTTATGAGGCTTGCAGTGAGCTGGGTTATAGTTTTCAGGCTGGGTGCTAAAAGCTTTAAAGGGACAGTGCTCGTCTCTCCCATCTGATAGAGAGAATATCTGTGAATTACCAAAATATGATTTTACCAGAAAATACCACATGATGTAAAGCCTCTACAGTCTGTCTACTCCTAAATCATAACATATACAGGTCACATACTTACATCAATATGGGAAAAATTTTAATTTGCAGCTAAACCAACATTAATCATCATCTACCTCCACATCTACTTTGACTGTTTTAGCCTCTTTCTGCTCCTTGTTTTGGTTTTTGTTACTATTACGGGTTGTTTGCCTTTAATGACCTAAAATCTCTACTAATGTGACAAAAACCCACTCAGTCACTCAGCTCTAAATATCCAACAGTAGTTAAAGAACAATTGGGTGAACATAGTGGAGCATTTAAAAGCTGAAGAGACGGACAATTTCCTCAGGAGCTGGTGGAGACCAAAAAGGAGCTTCAAAGTATTCAAATATCAGACTTGTATTTAAGGTGGACTGTAGCGCAACATTGAATTAATTTTTTTGCAATCAAAACTGGAGCGAATAATGTGTGTTTAGCAAATTGAACCGTGGAAAAAGTCATCATTAAAAAGTGAAAAAGCTGTAGAGGAGAACTATTTTGCAAAGTGCACCAATACCACAGAATGTTGCAATTTCTCTGGTAAATTTGTGCCAAATTCACATGCAAAAAGGCTGCAAAAACAACTGCACATTTTTCATTATTCGGAAATTCACACATAACGAAAATCGACATTTGCTCAATTCAGAAATGTAATTAAGTGTGCAATAAATGTGACTAATATCATAGTGTCAAAGAATGTCATTGTCCGTGATTGTTTTTTACATGCGGGTTATTTGCTGGAAGAGGTCTTAAGAATGTAAATAAGAGGCTAGTTTTGTTTTGTAGGAGAGAAATAGACCTTAACTCACAAATGATAAAAGATGATAGTAAATTCTTAACTCTATCCATCTATTTATACAAAACTCCTTATTCATGTGGTATATTTTTCTATATTTTTCTATGTTGTAAGACAAACTGCAAAACAAAAACATCACAAAGGGTTTTAAATGCAGTGGTTCATTTTCATTGTTTCATAGAAATAATGAAAAAGTCCAACAGTATCTTGAGACAGCTGCTGCTCCGTTCTCACTGCTTCTACACATATTTCAACAGCATCGATGACCTACCGCTGCAAAGTATTTCATTTCCCTCTGATCTCTATTTTGAGAACTTGTACCTCCATTTCTGTGCTGTGACCCTGGAGAAGAGGAAAGCAGGAATGAGCGTGAAATTCAGTGCAGCGTGCATGCAGGTGGGGAATCTTTGTGAGAAAGTAGGTCTGTTCACAGTTTAGGATTTGCCAGCCCAAAAATGATGTCCATTCTGCTCTATTGTCCAAAAACCAATGCTTCAGTTAAGTACAATAAGCATTTAATTAAGTCGTTTGAAAGTCTTTTTAAATTTAAAATCTGGTCTGGAAAGAAACAGCAGCCAACTCTGCGGTGATTACCCCTGTGCTGTTTCTATTGTGGGCTCATTCCTGATAATGGGCAGGACACTGATGTGAACATGGCAGCTGTCATATCCACAGGAAGCTGGCCAGCGCGTTGAGCACTCGCCGCGTGTTTAGTGGCTTCTACTCCTACATGAACCCATCTACCAATCACGTAGGAATAAAAAGCCATAAGACACAACAGCAATCTCACAGGAGGGAGGAAGAGAAGAAGAAAGGAGGAAGGGATATTAACGGAGGAGTCCGTGCTGCATGGAAATAAAGGAGAGGTTGTGCTCTCAGCAGGAAGGGGGGAAAAGTGTTGGAAGTGATCTTCGAAAGGGCAAGAAGCTGGGGGAAAGCATAAGTGAGGAGGAAAAGTGGATGAGAGGAAAGAGGAAACGAGGGAAGCAGCAGAAAAGGAGCTGATTTCACAGTCATTCAGAAAGCAGAGGTAGCCCACAGGTGATACAAGTATTTATAAGACCATGCTCTGTGTTTGTCTTCCCCTCTGTTTGATTATGAGCTGCTGTGTGCAGCAGATGAATATGTATTGCAGGCATTGGCAGACTCTGAAATTCCTCTGTGTGCAGAATATATTTGATATGCTGGAAGCAAACTGCTCTGATGAACCTAACCAAACTCCATCTGCTCTGTCTCCAAACACGCACATATTTTAGTCTTACAGGCAGCTGCACATGCTTTTAATGTGTAGTTTAAGGCAAATACAAGCTGCTCCTCTTCAGATGTTGCCCAAATTTCATATCCATCCTTTAAAACTGGATTAATTTCGAGTAAAGTCGTCTCTCCTGCAATAGAAAGCCAGTCACGCCCGTGTGTAAAGGGGTTACAGTACGAGTGTTCACACGCACAAGTCAGGCAGATAAATATGTATGACTCCGCCGCGGTAGGTTTCCTGCTTTGTATGCTAATGATCTTATGCAAGTTTAATAATACAACTGTGGTGCACTGAGGGTGGGGAGGTGGAGGAGGTGGAGAGAGGAGGTTGGTGGGATGACACAGACCTGCAGATCCTCACAAATCCTGCTCCATCCTTCCCACGAGAGGAGGAGGGAGCAGTGAGGTAACAGATTACATTTCATCTTATACTAATTAGACAGAAAAAGGGTGGATTTCCACGCTCAGTTTCAGGAGTGTAAAGGTCGTGGTGACTCCAGAGAATATGGGCTATTTTTTTTTTTGGTAAGTTTTGTGCTAGAAATCTGCATAGACAGCATAATCTGTTCAGCTATTTTGGTTCCGCATAAATATGATGTTTAAATCATATAGGAAAAGCACAGGCCAAAACAGCGCAGAACATTAGCATTAGGCTGAGATTTTGCTTGAAAATGGTACCACTGAATTGTAAGACACGATGCTCGAATATTCCTTAGTGTAAGAAGTGGTTACATCCACTTTATACACTATGAACAGTTCGGCAGAGCTACTCAGGGCACCCAGAGGCTCTCTGCACTCTGGGATTGTGCACTTAAGCAGAGAGAAGCTCTCGACTGTGTCTGTACTTCTCCAGAAAGTTGCTGAGGTCGGACTTCAGTGACCAGTCACCCCCCTCAGGGAGGAGCTCAAAGGTCAGACACAGAATAAAACTGACGGAGTATCTATGGCAAACGAAGAGACGGAGGAGATCATTATCCCTCATATGTGCAGCCATAATGACAGCAGACTTAGGAATAGACTCTGGTGGTTATCCAGCTTGGGCATTTCTCATTTTTATTGTGGACATTTAGAACTCTTAGACGACCCTTCCTTTAGACATAAAATAGTTGTACACTATAAAAGATTATAAATCAGTTTTCTGCACTGAGGTTTTAAGAAAAATTAAAGCCCCTGTGAGGGATTTTCACTGATCATGTAACAAAAGGAAATTACGAGTGAAGCATCTATGTGAGCTGTATGTACTGTACATCTTTGTCCAAACGAGAACACCAAAATCAACACAAACTGAGAGTCCCTCACAGGAACTTCAAGTGCATTTGGCTGTTGATAAGCACCGTTACTTGCAGGAAATTGAGATGCATCATTAAACCTTTTCTCTAAGAAAGAGGACCAAACACAAGAAAACACAAGTGGAGCAAAATTTGAGCCGAATGCTGCATTCAAGTTACCTCCGAAGTTAGAAGTCCGAGCTGAAAATGATGTCACACCTGAGCTCCGAGCGATTCAATTTACAAAGTCGGAAAAAAGCAAAATCGGAGGCCTGAAACAAGATGGCGACATCTGCAAAAGTTATTTTAGCTCTTGCCTTATGTTTGGACAAGGCGAGCGCTACAATAACTTTCATAGGTAACTTGAACGCAGCATTAGTACTCAGTCAGATGTTCTGGGGTGGATTGTTATAAACACTGATTTGTGAAGAGTCACTGGTGTCAAAGTCAGTCTGTTTCACCACCACTCAAAAATATTTTCATGAAGAAGTTCATTTAATTATCATATTTTCTATCTATCTATCTATCTATCTATCTATCTATCTATCTATCTATCTATCTATGTTTTGCATTAACTCTGCAGAACTCTTTCCACATTACAGATTAATCGGCCGATTTTTTATTAAGTTATAAAAAAAAATATATATATATATATATACTGAAGATACTGTAGGCTACTGCTCTTCACACCGACAGGAAGACCGACTGATCAAACTCGGACCAGAAAAGCGTTTTCAACTACCCCCCACCCCCCCGCTGCTGCCGATCGGTGCCTCCGCGTCTTAACTCACGTTACTCATTTCCGGTCCGGTCTCATCTGGAGTCATACAGCTGCCTCAGTAAGAGAAGTAGCTCGATCACGTAATGTGTACCGTCGTTTATTCTATTGTTACTGGCACGGCTAACAGTGTAGCAAGGCTAATAGCAGGTGAGTAACTAACTATTGTGTATTTCACAAGCTGGTTTATTTACCGTTGAGGCGGACCACTCTCCTCCGTGCGTCCCTGAGCTGCCTGCTTCAGATCCGTCATTCTTCTGTGCTGTGAGGTAGTTAGTGGATGAAGATGGTCATGAGGTCACTGCACCATCTACAGGATAAGTCGGGAACTTTTCAAATGGCGGAACATTTTTGAAGTGAAACCAAATCTTATTCTCTGCATTTTATTTCTGAAAATATCTGCAAAAATCAGCGAGTTTTGGCCAATTACGATTAGTCTCAAATGGGCTAAAATTGGCCAATTTAATTGGCTCGCCGATAATCGGTCGGGACCTAGTACACAGTGTATGTGTTAATTTACCTTCAGCAAAATAAGCCCTTTGCAGCTGACACCTGATTATCAAGATGCTTTTGTGCTTTTCTGACAGTACGATTGTTTTGTTGCTATGATATTTTTTCCATCACTTCATTGCTTCTTACACCATTTTATTCGGTAATCTCCCCTGCAATGATCAGACTAAGCAGCTCATTTTCCGAAGCCTACCTTCTGATTCGATGACTCAGCACTATGCAGAAGCTTGTCGAGAAGGAAAGTAATGAAGGAGGGATTTTTAGAGGGAAGTGTGATGAGCAAGCAATCATGCAAGCGCGTGTGGGATCAAATGTGATTCCCTGAATCTTTCGTCTGCGCTTTGAAACACACTCCTGCGTCAGTCGAGGTAACGCTTTGACTCCTGCCGCCGCCGCTCTGGGCATCAACTCCTGCAAAGATCCTGCAACAAAAACAGGAGAAAGAGAGAGAGAGAGAAAGAGACGTGAGGTAATTTCAGAGACATAATAAGAATTCAACCAATGCTGTGGCTGTTTGGTTATTTAATGAGTCGATCTGATGGCTTTATTATTGAATTAAGGATGATTATCTTTTGTTTGCAGACCGATAACAAACAAACTCTGGCAGAAACTTCAGCTGTCAATCTTCTGAGAGATGTCAGTCTTTAAAAAAGTTTTCCTCCTCCTTAAAAAGAGCTCACACTGAGATTTTACTGACATGCTACTTAATTTGGCCATTAACCTTGCACCAATTATGTCCCACGTTGAGCAGCGTCTACATGTGATGACTTGTGCGGTTTACTTTGCCTAATGAAAAGTTAATAGTGAGCAAATTCCTGCACCTGCTAACATCTCCGCTGAGGTGAAAATTGTTGACAGTAGGTGGAAAAACCTAAGTGAGGCATATGGCTGCCGGCACGTGTATGCGCATGATTTTGGAGAGAGGATCTGACCATCTTCATGGACAAAAAAAAAAAGAAAAGTTTCGCTTTTAATTTGTCATCTAAAACTGTTTGGGATAACTCTCCACACAATGAGCTGTGACATCTTCATTGAAAAGTGATTGATGGGGCTGCCGGGGAGAGAGGCAGTTTGAGAGACAGATCGCTCAAACAGTCAAGCTGTAAAAAGCCCAATAATATGATGAATGGTCTATTTACCCAACACATGAGGAGAGACTTGCATAAAGATTAAATGCGTGGGTTTTTTTTGGACGTGTCTTGGTCATGAAATAGATTAGATATTTGAATAATACGTCTGTGATTCTCTGCCAGGGAGCAAGTTGGAAATGAATTGAAGTTGTGAGGGGTTTTCGAGTGCTAATATGGGACCTCGAGCCCGTTAATCACGTTGGATTGTCTTGCAGCGGAGAAAAAAAATTGCTTTATCGATTATAGGGGTTGGCACCTGTGTGGATTTCCACCTGCAAAATCCCACTGAGATCATAAAAAGTCTGGATTTTTCTGAGTAATTTGCTCAACTTTGCTTGTCTCTGTACACAAATAAAGTTTGAACCACACTATCATTATCGTAGAAAATAAATGTTTGTTACGCATTATTCCTCCTCAGTCCATTCTCATGTATCATAAATGGACCATTAAACACTTATAAAGCACACAAACTGTATCTAAACTAAAGCCACTAATCACTTTAGCAAACAATGTCTCTGAGGATCCACAGTGCGGTTGATATAGTGACCCAATTTTTTACACATAGCATCTATAATTGATGAGCGATAGATTAGGCAGCCTCAGATCCGATAAGGGCATGAGGGGGGGCTCTGATGGATCTCTAGATAGGCTTACGTAGGGGGGGAACAGATGTAGAGGCGTGCATCAGAGAGGGATGGGGTTGCCTGTGATCGTTTCCACCCTGCAGCGAACAAAATAGCCCTCATATATCCCTGTAATCTGCATTAGCGCCGGAGCACGAGCCAGGAGACAGCGCAGAGGGGGATGAGTAATGGGGCTACCGCTGATTTGGCAGGCCCATATTACACCTCAAATCTGAGCCGATGCCCAACTGGTGAGAATATGAAATGAGGATGTCACAAATGAACATCATCCCCCTGGAACGCAATATTTATCACGCTGCATTACAGGCAAAAAAAAACCTGCTTTTAAGGTGGATTCAGGACATCTTCACTTTCTTAGATATCCTTCCACTTCCCTGGTAGTTAAGAAAGTAGTTCTCGTGTTAGCAGTGGAAATGAAGCACAGTAACTCCAAGTTTCAGGTTGATTTACTTCCATTACTTTCTACATTTTGTGCTGCCTAATTTGGTTCTTTTACTTTCCATCTACAGCAAGAGAAAAATACAAAGTTTTGACATCACTATGGGTGAAGTTTAGTCAAGACAACTCGGTAACGGGAAGCAGAAAAAAATCTTTCATTACTAATGCAGTTAGTTGGAAACCATTGGCTCCTTTTCCTCAAACTTGATCATGTCACCCCCACCTCTAAAATTCACTTGGGCCAGAAGTGTTCTTTAGTGGGACAAGTTGAAACCAAGATGGTGACATCCTGTAACTCAGAAGTGCCTTTGTCTGTCCAGCTTTTCATTTATATTCTCCAGAGTTTTAAACTCATGCTTTGGTGCCTTTTGCTTGTTGTCCTTAGAAACCTCTGAAAACTTTGGTGTGTGGAGTCAGTGTTCGTCAACATTTTTGATGAGCTAATTTGTCAAACTGTAAATAATACAATCCGCATTATTTGTACATGACATAGTATCATGAAAAATTCTTGCTGCAAGTGAGAAAGAGAGAGAGAGAGAAGCTGAGTTACACCGTGCTAAAACAAGGCGAGCATTGATAATGGAAGCAAAGCACTGAAAGAGAAATTTAAGATCTTATTTACCTGTTTCTCAATTTTAGTCTCTGTTCATTGATTTCTCTGCACCGGCTTGGTTCAGCACTTCGCAGAAGTTTGCAAATAAGGTAATAAAAAAGCAACAGATACCCATCTATGGATGCCCTGGAGTTTATTTTTGTTGCCATGGTATCCAAATAGGAATCAATATCACTTGTTTTTTATTGGTATGGCGTTCAATTGTTATTGTGCAAATACAGTGGCTGCAGAGGCAGAGACCTACAGACGTTTGGACAAAATACCAAAACTCAGTTTGCAAAGCTCAATCTAAAAGGGTAATGAGACATTCAGGAAGTTTACATGCTCGGTAAGTCGAGCCACAGTCATAGCACAATTAGATGATTTCACTGGACTACTGTCTTTGTCCCACTTAATAAGCACCAGGCAAGCAAGAGGCTAACAGGAAACACAGTCACTTTTACAGCATTATGCTTTTTTTGTATGCTGGGGAAAGTCTTATCTTTTTTACATCCTTTCTTTATCTGACGAGATTTTGTTTACTACCTGGCGTCCTAGCGACATATTCATGATATTCAACTTTAGGATCAACACTGGGGCGTATGCAGACAGCTTCAGCCAGTTTCAGCTCGATTGAGCCATAAACATGACAGAGAAAATTGCTTTTTCAAAATCCAGTTTCAGTCAGACTAAGGAAAAAAAAATCTTTTTTTAAAGCATCTAAACTTAGTGACAGTTAAAGTTCTTAAAAATGCTTCCCCTCTTCTTCTCTGAAGTCTTCCTCCGCTCTAAACTGACTGGTGGACAGAGTAAGATGTCTCTGTCGGTTGTAAGTATTCTGATGATCGTAGTAGTTGAATAGAAGTGGACAAGTTTTCATTGACTTTCCATTTGTCTGGACTGGAGTGATGGGACTCTTGACTACCTCTTAAGCATAAACTGTTTTGTCCCTACGTTCTGTCCAAAACCTCTTGCAAATTGAACAGCAAAGTTGTTTTACATTTAGATTAAACTGAATGAGCAGAAAACAACGTTGATTGAGCTTAACTGTTGAGAGTTTCTGTTTGTTAGTCAGACCGTCACAGTATAATGCTGTCGTTTTGAAGCTAAACCCCCAGCACTGGTTCCTTTTGGTAGAGTTGGTCATTCATGTATGTCTAAGTCAAAAAGACCTCCAAAAACTTCTGATAAAAGGAGAGAAATGCACACATTTTGAATGAAAACCTGTGGGTTGAGTCCTTTTCTTCCTACTTGACCCCCTTCATTGAAACAAATTGATGGTGTTTTAGTTGCACATTAGACTAAATTACACAAAATAACCACATTCAGTTGGCTGTAAATGTCTCAAAGTTTTTAAAACATCCACACTTTGTTGCTTTTGGTATTTTTTTCTTACCAGACTGAAACAGTCTGAGTTCCACCCACACCCCTTGGCGTGTCCTGACTGGCACATTTCAGCTCGCTTTCTAATTCTGCCCAACTCTCAGTATGCAGCAGGATGAGTAATGACCTTACACTGGTTTGGCACCTTCTGTCTGTATTACAAGCCTGAAACTCTGAGCCACAAGCAACAATTTGACTGGTGAGAGAATGAGCCCAGAGCCATGCAGGGCAGGAAACGAATGCTTCTGTCCAGCAGCCACAGTGGTGCAAAAAAACATCCAAAAATAGATTATTACACTCTGTGCAATTAATTTCATCCACTTTATGCCTCTAAAACTTTCTTTCTCCTACTTTGGAGACATTAAATAAGCACTGGAGATATTTTTAACTGATTATTTTTAATTATGCGAGTAAATTTTGCAAGACAAGAAACTCTCGCTGTAACCCAAATAGCAGAAATCTTTTCATCTCATCTCAAACAGAGCCAAATCCTAAGAAGCGAGGATATAAAATGAGAGCATAACAAACACAGCGCCTGGCATTAGACTCTTGTAATGGCTTGTAACAGGATATGCTTACTTGCTATCTGAAATTAAAGCGTAGATATTACATCCCTGGAGGCCAATCAAGTAGTTATGTGTATATTCAGCTGGGACATTAATGTACTCATAGGAACGGTGCGTTTGTGTGCTCAGTCTGCTCATGTGTATTTTAATTTCCTCTCTTAATTCACATTTTCCCGCATTAATAGATTGAGTTTCTATTTACAATTAAAATATCTCATAAGGAAAACACACAGCTCAGGGAAATAACACAGAATCTACACTGTGCTAATATTATTTGTGCTCCCTTTTGAATAGAAACTCGATTATCCGGACAAGAAAGAGAGACAGAGAGAGAGAGAGAGATAGTGCACTGCAAGATAACAAATGGTGCAAAACTTCTACTTCTTCATCAAACACAACAGAGTCACTTAATCAACGCTGCCGCCTGAAAACATCAGCATATGGTGGCATTAAATTTACATCCCGGATGGATGTGAAGCAGGAGCATACGCACTTCACATCATCAGTTTTCTCTTCAGCTTTTACTGCAAATGTTATGTATGCATGCTGTTGTTTCATTTTTCATTATCGGAATGACAAATCAGCAAAATGGAAATGATGAAAAGATGACTGAAACACACAGGAGGATAGATCAATGTCTGTTTTATCAAACATGTATGCTGCAATGTGGAGACTTTTCTTTTCTGGGGTTGTATTGAGCTGTATTCGTGCAGCTATCGAAACTTCACTTTGCGTGTCGTTAACCGCTTTCATGATGTTACTTTCAAGGTCTGCATGTGTAAGACTTCCTACGCATAAACCCTTTCACTCCTTTTCAGCCCTCTGCTGTGTTTTTCCAAGTGCAAGTAGACATTAGATGATTGTTTTTTACATTTCATGGGTCCCAATGATAAAATAGTGCTTTTTGAAGCATTTTTGGACCAAGTAGAAAATTAAATCCATGTTTGTTTGTTTCTTTCTTTTGTTGAAGTTGAAAGCAACTTGTGAGCAATCTAAAGGTATAAGAAAATGAAAAATGTAAAAGGATGACTTTTTTTTTTTTCTTAGCAAAAATAAGTTTGAAGCATGTTGGAGGACGCAAAATTTTTTTTTTTGTAGGATGGTAGGGGATTCGCCTCTGATTGGCTAGAAGAGCTGGGCTCCGATTGGTTATTCCTAATGGCTGTGAAACGTCATCGTCTGTCGGGTTAGGGTTAGGGTAAGAGTTAGGGTTAGGATTAAGCTGAGGTTCTGTAATGTTCTGTTCGCTGTACAGAGCCGACATCCCACGTTTGGCTCTGTACAGCGTGTGGTGACATTTCTAGCCAATCAAAGGCTAAGGAGGCGGGACTTTGCCATCCTATGGAAAAAAATATCACCGGACAAGATAAGGAAAGACTCCTTTGTCCACAGGGGGCGCCAAAACTGACACATACTGAAAGTGTATTAATTATTACCGATAATTTGAAAGAAGTCCATAACTTCCTTGTGGCGGTATTCTACTCAGACCAACATTTTTCTGCCAGTATTTATTAAATAAATTGTTTGTCCAAACTCTAAAATTTTGGTTTTGATCGGTCAAATTACTAAAATCTTGTTTCTGAACAAATTCAAAGAAAAAACAAAACAAAAACAACAACAACAATGTGATACTTGCGTACTTGCTCTCTTGTTAATCAGCATTGACATGGGCTATCAGTGGACCACTCTTGGTTTGGTTTCACTTTAAGACAAAGCTATAAGTCTTTGCTGATCTTGTCCTGTACACATACATGCTCCTTTATCTTTCAAAAAAATCCCACCCTGTTTACAAATTTTACACTCATCAAGAATCTTTGCTGCGGGAAACACAAACAACTGTTTTCTTCAACGAGCTGTTTCTGCAGCACTTAGTCTGACACCTTCACCGCAGCAGCAGCACTTTAAGGCAAAAAAAATAAAAATGTAGAAATAATCAATCTTGTTGCTGACGTTCTTGTTTGCTTTTGTAGGTCACATAAAGACATCTGTATTAATACTAGTCTGATTTATGACCAGCTTAAAACTCCTCACAGGAGCTTTAATGAGATACAGTTTCATTTTACACCATGAGAGCTTTATTATAATAATATATCATTACAATGAATAGAGGCGCCTGTTTGTGTCCCATATACAGAGACTACAGCTCTTTGCCTGTTTTATCTAATGGAGGCACAAATGTTTGATAAAAAAGCTTTAACAAGACTCATAGTCTTTATGTTATGATTGATGGTGAGTCTCCTACGCCTTCAGTTGTACAAGAGTGAAGCCTGCATGCTAAAGAAGTTATGATATATCCCTTATTTGTCTTTTACTCTAAAATTTGTCTTTGCGTTTTTTTTTTTTGCTGCATTTGTCAACAGAACAGTCAAGTATGGCTTTCCATCTATTTATTATAGCACCCAAACAGCATCTTTGAGCTTAAGTTCTTAGATGAATACTATGACTAACTATGACCGAAACAAAAAAAATCAGCCTTTAGTGCTTTGATTTTAAAGTCTGACCATTTTCCTACCGTTACCATGGAGAAGGCAGTCTACAACTCATACTGCAGTTAGTCAGTAGAGGGAGCTCTAAATATTTTGGCTTCACTATCAAGGGATGTCATGTCATCCATCATTATTATACAGACTAAAGTAAAGGCATAATCAGGGTTATCACAGTAAAATAAAGAGATGTCAGAAAATATGTTATCATGATGACATGGTGATATTGTGTGCTTTTATGTTGAAAAAATTTATGAAGTACTTAAAGTAAGTTTCTAGTCTGATGTAATCTAAGGGGATATCAGTCCTTATATTTTTGCTCTTCACTCTAAAACTAACACTCTCTGTTGACATTGAATGTCTCTTATAGTGGCAAATAATACAGATAAAGTAATCTCATTTTCAGGTCACTGAACAAGATAAAGCCTCATTTTCTCCTGGCTTGTGTAAGAAAGCATGTTTATGTCAGGCAGCTAAAGAAAGAAATTATTAATCGTCTAAATATCGAAACGGTCCTCCCAAGTATACAACCAATCACCCTTATCTCCTCTGTCCTTCCTCTTCCTCTCCCTCCCCGCTTTCATTACTCATTGAAGCTTTTCTTTCTCCCGTCGACTCTGAAGTGAGAACATTTTCATGAAGGCAATAAAACGCTCATCAGCAAAGGCCCTGAAATTATTTTTTAATATGACGACATTTTAATGAGGACTGAAGGAGATGGCTGGTTTGGCTGATGGCAGCGCCTCTTTATCAATGAGTGGCAGGGAGGAACTAATGGCACTAAAACAGACAGAACTCCACAGCCTCTCCCTCTCTCTCTCAGTGTGTGTCAAAGTCTCTCGCTCTACCACACAATGCAGGCTTTATATCCTTTACTGGAAGGAACTAAATTAAGTTTCGGCAATGAGAAAGACACAAAAGCTTTGTTTCCTGTGACAGGGCACCTATCACTTTTACTGCTTAAACTGTGTGGGCCACTTTTGACCTTTTTGGAGAACCTTTCTGTCCTTTTCTCTCTACATCCCGCTGTTTATGTGCTCTGTCATTGATTGGAATTTAATCTGCAGGACTTTTCCAGTTTAGCTGCTTGAGAAAAACCTGTCAGATGTGAGCGCTCTGCCAAAAAAGGTCATGTTATTGGACTGGAGAGGTTATGATGAAATTACAGATAAAGCCAGACGGGGGCCAGACTTTGAAATACACAAGTCAAGAGAACGATCAGACAGGATGCCCACACTTTCTGCCGCTCTCCTCTAGTCCTGTTTTTCCACAGATGCAGCAGACGGCTGTCCACCAGTGAATCTGTCTTCACATATTGTATCTGCCTGTTCAAAAGAGGTATTTCTTTCTCTATTTCTCTCGATTTGCTAAAGGCGAGCAGCTGAAAATGGGTACATGTGAAAACTCATTTGAAGTTGAAAGATGACAAACGACCCTTTTTTAAACAGCAAAGCGGACTTATCTTAACAGAGCAAGAAAGAGGACATTGGAAACATCATCAACAAACAGAACATTTTAAGTGCAAAAATACAGCAAATATTTCTTATTGTTGATTGTTTTCTTAGCCCCTTTCTTGCACATCTGTTACTTCATGATGTTGTAGAAGTGGCTTTTCACTTTCTTTTAAAATTAAGTTTTTTTTGCCATCAGAGTAGGCAATAGACGTACGACAATAAAATTGTCCCAACAAAAGCAACACAAATACCACGACTAAAGCTTGAACTTAAACAAGACTATCTACACAATTAATTGATGGTTTAAAAACAAGGATAATAAACATGTCATTGTGGCTTGTAATACTATTATATCATGTTGTATCGCAGTGTATGTATTGTATCATATCCCATTATATCCTCTTCTATCATTTTAAATTGCATCAAGTGATATTATATCTTACATCAAATATCTTAAAACATGTACATAATATCCCACTGAACTGTTTTAAATTTAAAATGATTGTATTACATTGCATCATGTCCTTTCACGTTGTATTGTATCCTTGTTGTGTTGTGTCGTATTGAATTGTGTATTATCATTTTTTTTGTACCCTATCACTCCGCATTACATTGTATCATGTCATTTAATCCCGTATTCTATTTTACGGTATCATATTGTATCATAAGTTATCGTTTTGTTACATTTTGTATCGTATTGTATCACATCATGTCGTGTTGTGTCCTATCCTATTGTATTGCATGTTGTTTTGTTACATTCCCCACTGTATCAAATCTTATTGTGTCATATTATATTGTACTGCATTTTTTATGCCATGTATCAGTTTGTATCATACTGTATTGTATTGTATCATATCATACACTATCATATTGCTTTGTAATGTATCAAACTGTATCGTGCTATGTTGTGTTGCATCATATAGTATTGTATCGTATTGTCAGTTGACCAAATCATTACACCCTTATAATAGTACATATGGTAAAAATGACATATAAAGCAGCTTAGTGAAAAAAGAAAGGATTGTCTATTATCTGCATTATGATTCAGAGTTTATGAAAAAGCTTATGCTGATAGAATTAACACGTCCTTTGTGAGGATGACCTGACCATAAAACTGTAACTTATCTGAGGCGCATTTTAAATTAATGTCACAAGAGGTGAAAGTGTATAAACTACAACCAAGATGTGCTAAATTACTGCCAGGGTGTGTTTTTAGTCAGACTTTTTCTTAAGGCTTTGAACCTAATGAGTTGTCAAGCAAGAGAACAAGCTTTGAAATTGTAGTAAATTTATGATAAGCAGCAAATTAATGTCACTCACTGTGATGCTTTACTCATTACAGACTGTTATATAACATAGTGTGATAAATAAAGGGCTTACTCTGTATAGCACAGGGCTCTGCTTATGTTATTTTAATGAGGCTTTCAAATTTTGATCTTCCTTCAGTGAGTGGTCAGACTTGGCTGACATTCCCGCCCAAGGTCGGGACTAAAGCGGTTTGCGGAGCAGAGCCCCCCTGCCCACCAGACGCTAAACACAACCACTTCCCTGCCTACGTTCCTTTTTTTTTCATCCATACAAGGTCGTCTCATGCCGACTACGCCTCTGCAATTAGCATGCAGCCTGTGGCGTGGTCTGTCTGGCGGTGAGCGAGCACGAGCACGGCGCCCCGCTCTCCTAATGAGATGTCAGTCAGCAAGGGTGCCTGCAGGACTGTGAAAGTGAAAAAAAAAAAAAAACCCTCCTAGGGGGGTTCATACACCACCTCATGGGTGGTAGAGGAGACGATTGAAGTGCACACAGCTGGACCAAGCAGGGCAGGCGGCTAATTTAACATAACACACACTATTTTCCGGACGTTTTCATCCAAATCATGAGGCTCTATCATGAATGCATTTTTAGCACAGAGGTCCCAGAAGGCATTGTGTGTAGCCCATGCTTTACCAGAGGTTTTGCTACCCAGGACCTTACTGGAGGGAGAGACACACTTATTCACTGAGATGTCAAACGGACAGTGAATGCAGCGCAGATAGCAGGCAATAGAATTGCAAAGTTGGAGAGCTTCAGTTTGTCCTCCGGTCTGAATTTTTATTGTAATGTTCTGCTGCAGCTATTTCAACTCAATTTATGTTTCCTCTCCCAGTTCAGCAGACAATATAGCTCTAAAGACTATACAACCCATGAGCCTCAGAGGCAGTTGCGAACAACACATTCACACTCCCAAATCAACAAATATGGTTGCTTGGTCTGTGGGCAAAAGTTTGGGAAGAAAATCTGTTAAAGTTAAGGACTTAATTTTGTCATGTTTGACAAGCAAAGCCCACTTAGATTAAAAAACTTTTGATCGTTGACACATTTATTAAAATTTTGGGACTGTTGGATTGTTGTCAAACCATCACAGTTTGGTTATTTCAGGGCAACAGTTTAATTAAATGATAAAAAATACATTATGGACACCTAAAATCCCCAAAATATTAAAGAAAAAAGATAGTTCAGTCTTTTCTGCCAAGACAAGAGTATATTCTCGACTGGAGAGAGACTGGCACTCGCCCGGGATGGCCGTATTTCACAACCTAAGCTGTGACAGATCAAGGGTTGTGGACCTGCTCATATTTACTTTTGATAACATTTCAATTAAAGCACAATCAGAAAAGTTAACACAAAAGAAATAAAATAGAATAAAAAATAAAAAGTGCAGCAGATTCCAATCCCCGCCAAGCTCCAAGTGCATGGCAATTTTCAGTTTGGCAAGTAAATCGAGTGCCACCTAATTGATAAATATTTGTGCCATTATGGTCATATCAAGTGAAAAAAATCAGTAACTAAAAAACTACTATGCTAAACTCGACTGTGTCACTCATATGGCTGTGGCTGTTATCGCCTGTTCCTCTGCTGTCTGCACATTGGAGCTCTGCAGGGACAGGTTGACAAACACACACATATGCACATTTAAGAACACAATGTATCACGATTTACAATGCTGAATATAAGCTTTAGGATCAAGACTTTATGACAGAGTTTCTAACGATGCACCACTTTAGATTAGTTTTGAGCTAGAGGTCAAAGATGTTCCTATAATTTATAAGAATGATGCCATCTTTTCATGAGCACGTTTCGTTCAGCCTCTCCTGCACTCACTGTAAAAGACACACTGAGGATAACCAGAAACCGCTGTCTTAGTATACATCACAAAACTGATCACAGGTGAAAACTCATAAAAAATCAGTTTGTTGGGAGGTGAGTCGTTAAGAAAGTCACTCACGTTAGCGTGTTAAAAAAAATCTATTCATTGCATCATATTTGACTTTTAAAATCTATGTAAATGTGTTTTTTAGGGTGACCATATTCTGACTTCCGAAAAAGACGACACAACTACTTGGGGGCGGAGTCACAGAGTCGCACAAAATTAGTTTAGAGAGTTTTTCGGGTCAGATCGAGTGTCTTTTATGTAGTTCTAACTCAGTAAGTCCACGAGACACGAAATTGAAACTTACGTACAAAACCGTGGACATTTGAAGGATTTTACAAACTTCCCTTGGACAAAGCCGGACAGCCCCCCAAAAAGAGGACATATCCAGGTAAAAGAGGACATATAGTCACCCTAGTGTGAGTCTTAAAGGTTTAGGACTGCAAAAGTGACAGTATTTTGATCACTTAATGTACATCTTGTTAGCCACTTGCTTGTTGCTTGTTTATCAACCAGAAAATAACCCGGTGGTACTGAGCTGAAATGGGGCATGTCGCCACCTACTGTAACGAAGGAAGACGTGCTTCCATCAATGATTTGTTTCTTGCCCAATGTTTGTAAAGTGGGACAAGGAGTCAGGATAAATCGCTTAATTGAGTTAAAAACATTAGCTAAACTGGACTGTGCATGCTAACTGAACTGAAACCAACAGCCTGGATGACGAGCTACACAAGCAGGCTATAGGTGTGGTGCACTCCTGTTTCTGGTCTTTAGGAAGACCTTGGATTTAAAAAACTTAATTTTTTACCAAACCATTTTGGTATGTATCTAATTCTCTGAATTGGAAGCACTGTACTCAAATGGTTCAATATAAAAATGTGAGCCTTTACACCTCAGACACAGTAGAAGAGGGAAGGATGTGTTCTTTTATATTTTTTACTTGCACACAATGTGCATTGTGCTTTTTTGTATTTCCTCATGCACTGAGAGCGAGTCTGAGTGTTCTGGCTCTGGCAAGAAGCTTGAGAAGCCTTTCTTGTGCACAGACGTTCCCCCTTATTATTCAAAAGGTATGAAGTCGGCATGTAAAATACTGTACGTCAGATACAAACTGGAGCTGAGAAGGATTCTTCCTCTTTTTCATTTGATGGTGCACTGAAGCACAAACCGATCAGAACTGTGCAACAGAAAGAAATGTGCTTCAATATCCCCCTTCCCTTATTTATTTGCATCTTATTTGAATTTACAATCAGATTCTGTTTATGCAGGGTATTGTATTCAGGAAAATATCACCATTATTCTGGGAATGTGCTTTGACTCCATCAGCTTGGCGATGGTCTGATTAGTTATTTCGTTCACACCATTGCAGCTGTTTATCATTTCAGTGGACAAAAACATGTTCTCGTTCATAAAATTACAGAAGTGATTAGTTAATCTGGGAGAATGGGGAATCAGCATCAACAGGCTCTTCTGACCACTTAAAAATCTGTTGTCTGTAAAATGACCGCAGGCGTTTTCTGTTCATTTTACTTCCAAAATTACAACCTCTAGATTACATTTGACAGGCTTTTCACCCCACAAGAAGAAGAAATACGGAGAGAGGCATCTCTGCACTCTTAGCTGATAAAATATTCATCCCACCGCTGGTTCAGTTTCATTTTACTGCATATTAATAGCGCTTCTGTGCAGATCCAGCAAACTTACATATACAGAGCTTCTCGGCTCTGTGTGAGGCATAAAAATCACAAAGCTTTTTTTTTTTCCTAAAGTGAGGGAGTCACATTGTAATGCAGCTCAAGTTTACGGTGCTGCCTAAAGCAAAAAGGAGGTTCAAAATCTTCATCTGAAATAGCTGCTATTGGGGGCTAATAAACCGTAATATTAACAACATGTGAAATGAAAGAGCAGTTTAAAATTCTCAGCCAACATAAAGGTTTTATTTCTGAGCTAGATCTGGGTCTCATCCTCTGAGGCTCTGTATATATGCTGTGTCCCATGTTTGACCTAAATTGCTTCTTTTTGCAATGGGGATTGGTGTAACGAGGCCTTATAGGAGGGACTGCTACAACATGTTTTACCGTGTTACATGTATTTTTCTTATAGAAAGAGCTTCAGTTGGATGAAATTCTGATGTTTTCCAAATGCCAACTCTCCTTCGTAAACACGCAGGATGATGGGCATACAGCTGATCATACACATCTTTAAAAAGCAGCCCTGGGGGTTGAGGACGTGCAGCGACATGCCTCACAAAGCCTCACTCGCCTGCTAATGGCCCCCTGTTTGTAATGGCATCCGTATAGCAGCGCTTGACGAGCTGCCAAAGGGGGTGTTCTGTTATTGCGGAGCCAATCACCCACTAAGTATTTGCTGGCTCCTATTTCCTCTCTGCTAATGTGCGAGCCTCCCCAATGCCGCAGCTAAATCGACTCTTTACGCCTGACTCGTCACCCTGCAGCGACGCACAGAGAATCCCAAAGATGCATCGGCGGAAGGGCAGCTCGACGTCCCTGTTGCCATGGATACGTTTATGGGCAGGGATGTGGCTGGGTGGGTTGTGATGCTTTTACTGCAACCCTAAATCACAGGAAGCGATGGTGTTCGATGATTAGGATGATGAAGCTGACGTGACCTTTGCAAGGGTGTTGTTAGGCGGCGATTGCTCACTTTAATGTGTCTTTGAATCTACTGTGTCAGAGGGTGTGTGGGACACAGGGGTGTGTTTGTCAACAGCTCTAGTGAAAGAAGGAGACAGTGGATCTTCAGGGAGCCAGGAGGTTGAAACTGAACCCAAATATTTCAATAAAAGTACGAAAGAAGTTTGAGACACTGTAAATTCTGCACTAATGCTCCTTTAAAAATGACAAAGCTCCATCCTCGGCGCCCCTTTTTCAAATATAACACAAAAATGTTCTTTCTTGCCCACATTTATAACCTCTTCTTGTCCAAGAACCCTTACTAACTGATCAAATACGAGCTGATTCAGCCAGGAGGACTATGGTAAATATTCTCTTATGACTCAGTAACCTTATTCCCCTGTCTGATGCTCCTTTGGTTATGTGTTTGCTATATTCTTTTGTTGAGCTGTTCATATTTGAAGGTTCTTAACTTATTTTTGTATACTGTGACTGCATGTAATACGTATAATATTGGTCTCTGTTTATTGAAGAAGGCCATGATAGTCAAAGTGGGGAAATGATCCTTCTCATCTATAAAAAAACCTCAATCAAAACTTTTTAAGTCTAAACATTTGTTCCTCTCTCTAAATCACTTTTTATTTTACGTTTTTAAAGCTCCAATGAGGAACTTTCTGTGTCAAATTTGGCGCCCCCTTTTGGAGCAAACAGTGCAAGTTCTCGTCCTTGTGAAAATGGTGTTAGCCACAAAATCTCCTCCTGTTGCGTTTCCACTATAAATATTTGCAGTGCAACAAGTAAGAACAACAACACCGACATTGTCCATCTTGGCGCTCTCAGTCTGATTTGATTGTGAATATCACAGAGATTCACCACGTTGCTAACAGTCATGCAACTTATACAGTTTATAGAGGCATCAGCTATAATATAAGTACAGTTTGTGATCGGCTTAAACTCCACACAGGAGCTTTAACTTGTCTATAGGTTTGTAGTGAAACAATTGAAAGATCCTGCAAGGAGATTTTTAATTGGCTATGAAAAAGACTGAATTAAAAAGATCATCAACAGCACGACCGATAACTTTTACGCAGTTATTTTTAATACTCCTGCAGGATAGGTGTCATACAAAGGAGGATTATGCAGTATATTTAACAGTCTTTTCTTCTGCAGCAAGGTGAACTTATTCGTGCACAGGGGGCGCCAGAATCAACTCGAGCAAAGGTTTCTCACAGGAGCTCACATAAACCCCACAATTTACACCCTCATCACAGTACTGGCCTATATGACTTCTGGTGGACACCACAGCTAACTTGTGCCTTATCTTGTTGCTAGTCACACGGTTCACCCAAATTTATAACTTTAACTCACACAATTTGTGAGCCTATATCTCTGCCAAAGCCTCTAAAGCTCATGCAGCGTGGGTAAGCTCAGGCAGAGACACTCAGGCAGATAATGACGGTGTTTTCACTGTTTTACGGCTCTACAAGGGACCCTACAGACAACTCATCAGACAGAGTACTAATAGGAAGAAAAGCCAATAAAGTTTAAGTACACTTTTAAATAAAAAGTTGATTGTCTGAAGTTGTTGGCAGCTCTAGATAACTTCCTGTTAAAGTTCTCCTGTAAGTGTGAACTTTGTGAAGAGCCTAAAGGCTGCATGATGGTTGTAGGTAATATAACTGTGTGATGATTAATCATCCAGCTATAGCTTTTCATAAGGGGTATCTCTTATACTTCCCTGCCAGGTAGCAGTGTTAAACTTAAGGTGCACCTGCATGGTAAACAGAAAGGTGTCCTGCTGATAAGAGCAGCCAAAAGCAAAGCTATGAAAGTGAGAGGCAAATAAACTTGGGAAGATTTGAGTCCTCAAGAGGCCTGCGCGGGAATGCGTAATATGAGAGAGCTAGTCCGCAGTTAGAAAAGCCCAGACATACTTTGCCCCCCGTTATCGGCAGGCGCAGATGTGCCTCAGCCTTCTCTTGCAGCGCTCCCATTCGCCACATCCATCACAGAAGTGCACCTTGGGAGATTGAGAGGATGGTGCGAGCGCCAAGCCCACCATCTGCCGTCGTTTAGAAATAAATGACAGGCTCCAAACCTTGTGGGAGCCCGTCTCATTCGGCTGCCAGCGTCGGCGCAATGACGGGTCCGCCCAACCTTCTCTGTTTTTTTTCTTTCCTTGAATCGATGTGTGAGACCCCTGCCAGTCATGCTGGAGCAGACCTCAGAGAGAGACTTGGAGTGGATTTGGTCGGCGAAGCACGGCCCTTTACTCAGGGGAGCGGGCAGGTGGAACAGCGTGGTGAAAGCAGCTGTCTCCCCACTGATTACAGCAGCCAACATGGAGAGCTGGAAAACTCATAGACTCAACTGGAGAGAAGCTCCGGCTCTGGTTTATTTCATTAGAGGCTTATTGATGATCCACAGATAAAGACACACTCACTTATAACAAGCTGAGAGTTTATGATCAGCCTCCAGGTAGCTCTTTTGCTCCAACATATTCCTGCTCGCTGATATTTCACACACAAGCAATGAAGTGTGCGTGGGACAAAACTGTGCGATTTAGCAGATTTCCCAAGGTGGAGATTAAGGAAAATTAAGTAACTAACAGCACCAAATGGACAATTCGGCTACTGTGCGGATGATAAATGAAACAAGATGAATCATAAAACTAACACACGGACATAACCCCCATCCGAGTGAAAAAGTAGAGGCCAAATAATTTACGTATAGCACAAAAAAGCTGTGTCTTTAATCTCCTGGAGGATGATTTCCGGTAGCTTCCCTCCGCCAGCTGTGGGAACAGGCGAAGCAGTACTTCATTGACTTCTCCTACGTGACAGCTCATATAAGTTTGGCCCCAGAACTGAGACAGGGAGGTAGACTTTATTAATTTCATGGATTTGGAAATGAGCCGTGGTGATAAGGCTATCACTCTCTTATCTGAGGATGGCGGGGGCGTAATTAAGCCGATAGCCGGCGATGATGATGAGGAAGTGGTGTGAAGAGGGAAAAAAAGAGCCTTGGGGGATATGAGGGCGGAATCTTCAGGGCTCGTTTACTTGAGGCATGATTAGATTGGCACTTAATTGCCACCTTTTCTATTTTTAGGGTGGGAGGTTTTCTTACCAGGCTCCCCACCCCCACGTCTTTGATTTTTTTTGTGTGGTCAAGGTCAGTTTAAAGATTGTTCGATTGTCACACGGGCTGACGTCGAGTCAAAAGGTTTTGTGGAGGGTTAGATCGAGGAGGAGAAAGCGTGGATATCTGGGAGATTGGGGTCGAGAGTAGGTGGACTGCAGCATAATAGCACGAGACAGACTCTTTCTGGAAATGGCCAAGTTTCATCTCATGAACTTTACCAATAGGCTGAAAGTCTGATAATTGTTTTGAACCAGCAAAACAGGCTCACAAATCAGTTTTTATTGATTCCTCACCTCACTGTCTCACAGCACCAAAGATCCTTACTCAAAGCTTGGATGTACTCTGATTTCTCTGAATCCTATTTCATGTCTGATAATGACCGAGTCGACCAGACTGTACCAGAGCGACTGTTACAGAAAATGGTTTCAGTGTACTGTCTGCAGCGGCTGAAGTAAAACAAATCTTTACCTTGTATAGGGTCTTTGTCCAAAAATGTTTAAACCTATCTCCTCTTCTCTTACAAGTACTCTGACGGTAATCAAGAAAGAAGGTAGTATCTTGAAAAAGTTCAGCTATAAAAAGTGTTAAACTACGCTGAAAAGGTTAAAAGTTCTGACTGGTCTTAACGTCAACCTAAGCCCTAAAAATCAATACATGCTAATCCCTGCAAAGTCCGGTGAATCCCACCCACCTTAAGCAGTTATTGAGTTCAAGGTATTTCGGTGCAAGTTTGGCAAATAAAGTAAAAGTGCAAAGATCAGTCGAGGGTGTCTCTACGAATATATATATGGGAGAGATGGGGTAAGTTGAGCCAACGGGTAAGTTGAGCCACCCCCTGTTGCTTGGAAATGGTAAAAGAAATTGATCATGTGACCAAATATTTAGGAGATGGGCATCAATTCATGGAGTCTGTTAAGGTTAGAAGCACATGGGTGAAGAGGTTAGACATTTATTTACAAAAAAACATTTTTCACTCTTAAAAGTGAATTTAGTCTGTCATAAATTTTATTAGAATTGTGTTTAGACCAAAAGAGATCATTTCAAAATTGTTTTATACATCAATTCTGGTCTCTATGAGCGACAACATGAGGTGAAAACCAAACATAAAAGTCCACCATTTTAGCTTAGAGGACTGATAAAGTCATAATAGTAGTTCTGGGGTAAGTTGAGTGAGTGGCTAAACTGAGAAAATAAAGAAGTCTGATAAGAGGATCAGGGGTAGTAGGGATACGGCTCAACTTACCTCGCTCCTACAGTCAACTTACCCCATACACGTGGTAAGATGACCATAGGAGACCACTTTTTTTTTTGTCATGCTGTATTATCAAGACAGTTCTGTTTACACTCATTCTGTTGGTTTCCAGGGATGAACAACATCTTGAAATATATGCAGATACACTAGTTAGAGACAAAACTATGATTGCCTTGATGTAGTGATCTGAAATATGAAAAATGGCTCATCTTACCCCACTCTCCCCTACGGATTTTGTGAAGTCAGTAATTTCTGTCTTTGAACAAGAATTCAACTCCTGTTAAGTCTAAAAGTAAGAAAAATCCATTAATCCTAATTGTGTATGACTTATTCCAACACAGCTAAAGAGAGTGACAGAGTCTGTAGATAAAGGAAGATATTGGTTTAATTAAGTTGAGTAAGCATCACCAACATGGTGACTAACACTGATGGGCTTCAAAACTCTGCTTTAAAAAAGGTGCTGTCACTGATGCTACCTCCAGTTATTAAACAGTCTACAGACTAACCTTAGCAGAGCTAGTCCTGCCCCTTTGGTCTGGTTTTGCGTTGCTCTGGTCAAGTAGTGAAATGCGAGTTTGACCAGACAGAGTTAACGTACAACTTTCTCTTCAAACTCTAGATCTTGATACTGCTCATTTGTGCCATGCCCTCTGTGCTTGTTTACATTCAGGTTGTAGAGTACTGAAACATTATGGGGGAGCAATTTCCTGGTGTTACAGCCCCGGCTAGAGGAGGGTAGCTGCATTACAGCACAGACAACACATGACAGATATTTAGGGCATACAGTTGAAGAAAATACTTCATTTCAATATGAGTTTGTTGATAATAATAGTAAAACCTAATTGTATGGGTCTACTTTCAGCTGTGGAATGATACACAGTTGTAGCAGGTTAATGTATTATATCAAATATGAGGAAACTATGTTTCCCCTGGTAAATTTATTGTATTAACATGTCTGCTAGTGCAATGTTCTTGTTTATATATTTGATTTTATTATCCTTAAAGCTTTGTGGGTCTGAAGAATTATCATAATAACTTTTGATACAATAATTTGCAGTTTAAAAGGTACATTTATGGTTGTTATTGCATGGGATTTAGACACAACACCAAATATATAACAGTGATTGCGTTCTCTTGCAAATTGGGGTGGAGACCTGTATTTTCATTTGCTCGCATTGACAAAGCCGTGCTATACTTTTAATATAGTGGACAAAACAGATTAGAACTATTGCCACACTTCATTCTTAAGGAATTAAGTTCAGCACAGCAAACTTTGATAAGGTGACTTTAAATTAGCTGCCAACAAAGATATGCTTGCGCAATGTGAAGCAATGCTCCGAACTAATGAAGACCTTTGTGCGAGACAGATGTGAGAATATCCCTCTGGTGCCCTGTGACACCTTCCAGTGTAAACACCTCAGCCTGCAGAAAAGGGGCTGCAAATCGGCAAAGCCTGTCTGTAAAACCATAATCCCTGCTCCTCCGACAGATGCAAGGGAGAATAAGAGTGTTATCACCCTGCTCGACACACTCCTGTGTTTTCTCCAGGCATCCTCGGGGGTTTATCATTCCGGCATTCATTCCATTATCCCGAGCACACCGGGACTGTCCTCGGAGCAGGGGAACAGAACAAAGAGGGAGCATGTCGAGGAGCGGATTAGACTGGTGAAGCAAGTGTGGGGCTTCGGGGGAGGGAAATCAAGGAAACAAGGGGATGCAGGAGGAAAGGGAACACGGGGGATGCAAGAAGTGAACAAGCAGGGAGACAGAAGGACAGCTTGTTTGTCATTTCACAGCTGTAATGTGTTCCCTTTGTTCTTTTCTGGGAACATTTAAATGTTACATACAAAACCCCCATGAGGAGAAGTGGTGTTTTTCTTTTAATTTGATTGTCTGCAGTGGACGCTCTTTGTTTTGATTCGTGCACCTCAAGAGGATGGCTGACACTGTGCAAAAAGGAAAATGTACTGAACCATAAAAGGAGGTATAAAAGAATGGCAAGAGTACAAGACAGTTTGATGCCTAAATTGGACTACTTCTTCTCTTTTTCAAGCATAAATCAATGCTTTTCCATCCCCTGTGAATGTGTTTTTTTTCCCTCTGTGTCTCATTTAAACCAAAACATTCTACATACAAGAACATTTTGTACCGTGTCCATCTAAACGTCTGCATTTGATGGATTTTGAAAGTCATGGTTTGATCCGTCTGTTATTTTCACTGTGTCATTAAGAGTTGACTCTGAAAGATGTCGGAAATCTTTGAAAATATGAATCACAGTTTTTGAAAAATGGAAGGTTTGTTAATGTTTCTCCTGTGTGTCTAATGTGTCGCTAAAAAATACAACAATGCGGTGACTGTTTTTTGTCGTGTTTTGCCCCCTGTTAACTTTGTCAAAGTTGGGTGTACGTTAGTGAGCATATACAGAATTCTGTTTCATGAAGCAGCAGGGACTAGGACAAACTGATTGCAATATATCCTTTTTCTTTTTCATTATAAATATGTCTTAGTGTGTGCGTCTTCAAAGCATATCTATTTGAAGTCTAGGAAGAGTGGCCAAAGAGAGAGTATTTTGTTTCTTTGAGCTCTACAGCTCTCTCTGGTAACTTTAATCAGTGAGTGATGCACTTTTTTTTTTTGTACCTTAGCCGTTCAGCAGGGAACAGGGAGGGCACAGTAGCAATGTACTGAGGGAGAGTCTGAGCTTCAGGTTATCTAGCTGAAGTAAGGAAATTGAATAATACAGTAAAAAAGTGCCACCAGATTGAAATGTGGCTTTACAAAGGTTCAAGACGTGGTCAGACCCTGATAGCAGTTCCTCATCTGCTAAGTGAATGAGTTCACAGGGGAAAACATTTTGACTAAAAGAAAAGAGTTTTTATGAACACCAACTGGACTAAATGTTTTGAATTGGTCAATTAAAACTGGACAGAAATTACAGAGCAAAAATGACTGAAATATGACTCAAAGTAGCAGGCGTTTTAGCCCAAAGTCTGACTTCAATATGCCGTCAAAATAAACAGCTGGGAGTCCAAAAATCCTCAGATTACTGTCGAAAGAAATGAGAAAATCCATCAAATATTCTGAATTTCTCCAAGAAAGAAACAGCTGCTGGTGAATTTTAGACATTCTAACTTTGAAAAATGATTAAACAGCCAAAAGCCAGCTCATAAACTTGAACTTGATCAACTCTTCTCCTGTTCAAAAATGCCTTAAAGCTGATCCCATTCAGTTGTGGGTGTGGAGCTCATGATTACAGAGTCAGGAATTCCTTTTAATGATCAACCTGAATACAAAATGAGGGTTTTTATTGGCTGATATTCAACCTGATGCTGATAAAGTGTTCGATTGGAATTTAAAATAGGACTCCTGGGGTTTTCACTTATTAATGTTTATGATTCAAGTTCAGTTTTTAAAAATTTTCTTTGAGGTTTTGATACGAGTTGAGCTTATAAAACTATTATGAATATCTTCATGCTAATCACATTTCTACAGGGGGTGTAAATACTGTAATGAACATGTAGGTTGGGTTTGTAATACAAATCAGTCCATCAATTACACTTTCGAGCAAAACATCCATCTACTTTTGTGTTTGACTACAGCAGGTTAGATCGCACCATCTGCATGTGACACACACACACACACACACACACACACACACACACACACACACACACACACACACGCGCGCGCCCACACACAGAGGTGACACATCATCCCACAATGCATCCAGAAAGCTATAAGGTGCAGATGAGCGCACGCGGACACCCCCAGATCCCACACTTCATTACGCGTCCAGCCATCCCTGACTGGAGTAAATCGATGCAGGATAATAGGCAGCGCCCTCATCCCTCCATCACTCCATCTCTCCCTCCTCCATCCATCCCGCCCCCTTTTTACCTCCATCTTTACCACCATTTCCTTCTGTCTACACCCTCTCATTCCCCCTACCTTTCCTTCTCTTTGTCCTAACATCACCCCTCCTTCCCTCCATCCTCCTTTCCTTTCCTCCCCATCCCTCCTGTCTGTTTTCATCACCGCTCTGGATCAGTCCTCTTATCAGGCGCGGCCCCTGTAGTACGGCTGTGGTGTATAACATGTCTGTTGTGATCACGGGCAGCTCGGCCCGTGCGCTGACAGTAACACGGGTAATAAGCTCCTTCTGCATGTGTTTCCGTGTCACTTCTGCCCGTATGGGCTGCTTCCTATAATTTAAGTCCTCTGTGTCCCGTGGGGGAAGGCAGTGTTATTAGTCCTCCGAGGACTGGTCGAGGTGTTTAAAAATTCCATTTCGTTAGTCGTGTCAGTTTACATATAAGGACGTGCAGCTGTTGCTCTTTGTAATGGCTGCGTTTCCCGCATTTAACAAGCTCAATTGATAATGTTCAGCCGACAGAGAGGCATAAATGTCGCTGGAACGGTCAAAGTTTTTGCATTTCTTTTAACTAGTTTTAGAAATAATTTATTGTGCTTAATGGCCCACTGCAGGCCTGTTGCATACAATTAGAGCTGTGATCCATTACCACAAAGAAAAAACAAAACAGCTTGTCCTGCTCGCTTAATTCACATTCAAGAGGTCGGGAAACTTTTGATCCAAGTGCCCTCATCGCTTGAAGTTGCAAACAAGGAAATTAAAGCCTCTTTAATCCAGACGTTTCCTTTTAGAGTGCCTTTGACAACATGTTTTAATGCCACTAATGGAATTCTTTCACCAGAAAGGCCATAAAAATTCAAATTTAAAGTCTGAAACCACAAAAGGTTGCTATTTTGTATCATAACAGCAGTATTACATACTGTTTCACACCCTGAAAGTACTTACTTCATGTCTCCATCTTAAACAGCAAGCAAGCAACTTCACTTTCCACTGTCGCTCACACAAAAACACTGAATTATTGAGAATTACACTTCAAAGAAAGATCTGATTTGTGGTTGCTGGATTTTCTGGTGACTTAACAATCACAGTTGTTTAAAACGAGGGAAGGAGTTGCATGAAATATTCAAGGAAAACTGATAAAGTGAAGCTCGAGCAATAAAAGGAAGACAGCTCTCTGAGAAATATCTGAGATCAAAGGGGGACCACACACACATACACAAAAACACACACACACAGGAGGGAGAGGAGATAGCTCGCCTAATTGAAAATTTTGAGATGTTATCCAATATCTGAAAACCTGAGCGTAAATGTCAATCTGAGTTTATTAATGACCTTTGCTCAGTAATAATAATGATGTGATTGGAATCCAGATAATGAACCAATGAGAGAAGATACTTCAAGTTAAAAGGCTGAGAGTTTAGTCTGCTTATAACTTCATTTCAAAACTGAAAAGCGACAATCTGAAACAAGAAACCTGGACTTTCTTTAAACCCCAAACTAAATATGATTGTAACAGAAGTTTCATCTTTTTGGCATCTTTGCCCATTACAAAATTTAAAACCCAACTAGCTGGAAAAAAACAACCTTGAGTATGGTTTATCGTGACTAAACATGAGGTCACAAAGTCTGCAGCTGAACTACATCAAATTTGTCTTCTGTTGGTGGCGTTATACTTCTAACATTACAATAGAAGAGCTAGCACCACCAGCTAGTGAAAGACAAGTTTAACAACAGCTTAACAGTTAGGTGAAGCTAGTCAGAAAGCTTAAATTTGGCACATTTTTTGTGTCATGTTGATTTTGTTCAGAAAGCCAGGAGAGGCAAGGAATCTAGGTAGTAGAAAGCAGGCCGAGTGTGGCTGGAAGTAGGACTGGGCGATTATATGATCGTGATAAATTTCAGTCCAATCATGGTGATCAGCTGTGAACATATTTACTCGATCAAACATAGCTGAAATGTGCGTGACAACAGCCAATCAGAGTCAAGCTTTTCCTGCTCACTTCTGTAAGTTGCCGGAGAAGTAAACAGGGGATGTAAACAGAATGACAGAACGTGGAGCTAAACGCAGAGCTGAGGGCAGCAAAATAGATGTCAGCCATGACTTTGAGTCATCCTCCAAAGATGCCATTGTTGAGAAAAATGTTGTTCAACGTCTGGTGGGGTGGTGGTTCAGGTGTCTCCAAAGTGACGTCGAGCAATTAAGCCGATGTGTAAGGTATGTCAGGGTTGGTGCCCTCAAAAACCGGCAACACAACAAATCTGTTGAATCATTTGAAGAAGTACTTCTTGAGTGATTATGCGGAAAGCATGAGAATGTGAGCGGAGTCTTCACAACCTGCCACTGCTGACGGCATAAGTAACATTAGCAGTTTAGCCAAAACTAGCTGTGCAGCCACCAGACTAAAGCAGCAATCAATCATATCATCTACGTGCACTTCATTTTCATTATCCCTGAGGGGTCGATTTGTTTATTTTGAGTCTTGCATACCTGCAAAAACACTCAGGACTGAAACTAGTTCACTGTATCTTTTAGTATTTATCTACATTTGTTGTGCTGTTGAGTTAAAATGTTTATTACATTTTTCTGAGTTTATCCTATTTAATTTGCTTTGTTATTTACTTTGGTAATAAAATGTTGAACTTATCTCTAGTTTCTTTAGTTTTTAGTTCAGATGCTTGGCAGTGAAAAAAAAAAAAAAATGATAATAATCGGGATCGGACGATATGAGAAAAAATATTATCTTTTTTTTGCCAAATCGCCCAGCCCTAGCTGGAAGTCAAACTAGTAACCACTGGGATAAGGAATGGAGTTGTTGTATTTGGGGCTCGTGCTTTCGCTGCTGAGACAATTTGGCACTCCATGATGCCATTTTAGACTGTGACTTAAAGAAAACGGTGATTTACGTGCTGTTTAAACATAGAGCTAAATTGAAATATGCAAAATCAACAGTAGTGTTGTTAATATGTGCTACAATTTACAACAATCTGACAGAAACAGGGACTTCTTAGTGTTTTCTTTACAAGTTGGATTCACTACTCTGTGGTTTTATCATCAATTTGGGAGGTCTGTTTGAGAGAAGCAAAACGAAACACCTCTTCTTATGACATTAGTGGGCTGAAACAGATACAATTGCTGTGATCGTCGTTGTGCCCTGAGTAATTGGACTAAGTGTGGTGCATCACCAACATTTTAAAAGGGCTACATAGAAGCATGTAAAGCCAGATATGATGCTAGTTTTGAAACAGAGTGTCACGAAGAGCTGGACCCCACTGTGAGTAAACATTTAGAGGCTAATTAAGGTCATATTAAAAATGAAATATATCCACACAGATTTATCAGTGAAGTGACTGAAATTCGTGGAAATGTTCTTCCCATGTACCGACATACAAATATTTACTCATTAACTCCTTCAGGGTGCGAATGCCTCAACTTGTACCATCTGTTCTATCATGCTGCTCACATTATCCCACATTCAGTCTTTATGAGCCAATTTCAGCTGACATGATCAGAAAGTGAGATAAACACAAGTGTTGACTGATCACATCAGCAATGTTTTCACCAGCCTGAGAAGTCTTTGAACTTTCCAAATCCTGGACTAGTTAGTGGATTTTACAAGAATTATCACAACTAGGAATCAACTTGGGAGAGAAAAGTTGTCTGCAGCTGAACTTCCTATCAGTCCATCATGTGATGAGACGCACATACATACACACATGCACACACACAAGTACTACCTCATTTACCGCCTGCAGTCAGCAGCAGCGTTGACTTCTACAGTTGGCAGCTATCAGCTATACCTCCAATCAGCCAGCATGTTATGTAACAGCATGAACACCGTAGCTGTCTGGAGGAGAAGTATCCGAGTTTGCAGTGAGAGTTTGGGGAAGAATAGCAGGTGGATTCATGACAGGAAAACTTCTGTTAGATAAATGAAGGCAGATATGAATGCATATGGATGTTAACAACATGAAATGGAGGATTTATTTAGACTTTTAGTCAGCTCTAAAGCCGATTTTTCAAAGCAAACAGACTACACGATGACACTGAAGTCCACTTTTTCAAAATTTATGAGTCTTGGCTGTCTCAGGATTTAAAAGCAGCCGCCTTCTTGTCAAGAGTGAAAAGAGCGAAAATGAAAAACACAGTCTTCATTTCAAGATTTCATCTTAACAATTGATGCAGAGAGAAAAACCTGTGGGCAGTAAAAATAAAATAACAACCTCTAAATCTATAAATCTATAACAACCCAGCGATCCATCACTGGAATAGAAACTTATCCCAAAACTTTGCATGAACTTTGAAAGTCAGATTGCAAAATCAAACACATACAATCCCACCATGAGAGCAGCCTGACGCTAACAACAGGGATATGAGTATGTTACAGACGGAGGGCGAGGCAGAGCAAACACAGCAGTGGCAGCTGCTCTCTGCAGTGCAACCATTAAGATGGGAGGAGGCTACACTCCTGAGGGGGGTAATGAAAGTGCTTTGGTGTCGCACCTCAACATCTGTGCACCCTGAAGCTCAAAGATACCTTTACACTCATCTCTCACTGTACCTCTGCTATGAACTACAGCCTTTATGACTGCTTTTTGTTTTTCTGGAGACAAAATGGACTGAAGTACATGCCACGGTGCACAGTAAATATCTTATTACTTTTTCCATATCAAGCGCAATATTGCTTTTCATATTGTATGCATTTCTGCTTTTTTATTATGGTAAATTTTTCTTTTTGAATCACGAGCAGTAGTCCTAAAAAAGGCTAGATTATCATTTGCATGTGCAACATTACATTTAAGTAAACCATCACTGTTATGTTTTTAACATTATTTGCAATCTTATTTAAAAAACAACAAATACGCTGTGTTACTTCTGAATAAATCAGCTTTGTCACGCTTATTTTCATGGTCAGTGTTGCTTTTTTAAACTCGGCCTGAGACATATTAAGCCTGTTATCTTGTGCAATAGAACATTCTAAGGGATTAATACATGTTATGTTTGTTATCATGTGTTTGATCGAAACTATATTCCTCTATTGTCAGTAAAAGCCTTTATTATAATTACCACCATATGCAATATTACTGTCACTTTAACGTCATGCAGGATATTACTTGTAATTCAAATGTGCACAGATCACATGCTGCCTTACAATAATTACCTGGTGCAACTGAAGTTTTTATAACCCTACAGAATGAGAGCCAATACGAATACCAATGATAAACACAGATCAGCCATACCTCAGTGCAGCTGTGGATGCAAAGGCTGGACTCAGCTGGACCCAGAGCATCTGTGGAGTGTGCGTTCATCTGGACTGACTGAAATGGTAATAAGAGAGAACAAATACTTAAATTACAATGGAGCTTTACTCTGTAACCTCAGCTATTAAACTCTACATCTGTATTAAAACACTCACACACTTGTTGTTTTTCTTTGGTGTCACTCTTAGTTTGTACAGTAGTGCTTTATGTACCAGACATCTTTAAAAGGATTGATAAGGTTCAATTTGATCTCAATTCATCTTGTTCACCTTCTATTAAAAATGTTGGAAAGTTAACTCAAGGAAAAGAGACAAAACGCAAGAAACAGGATGAGAAAGAGCATCCCCAACTCCCCCGCCTACCCCCCTACCCCCACCCACTCTCAGCACACCCCCCCCCCCCCGACAACTTTTCTTTGGGGGCTTCTTATAAACCAACCATCTATCTCCATTATGCCCCCGAAATTGCTATTTGTCGCTTTGCGGGGAAGAAATAATCAATATGTCTTGTGGGGGCAGCGAGCGCATTAGAGGAAGCAAATTGATGTCTCTCGCCCCAGCGCTCCTCACCCAGCACACTGCACCACGGCTAATGGGAAGCCTCGCTGGCTGGAAGACAGGGAGCCAGCATCTGTGTGTGCATGTGTGTGTGTGTGTGTCAGTGCATATGAGTGAATGAATGAGCGAGTGGTCAGGCAATAGGGAATTTGTAAATGCAAAGTGAATGCCAGTGTTTGGCTGTGTGCTCATGTGTCGCGTACTCGCCTGCTCACACACACACACAAACATCCTGTGTGTGTGTGTGAGTGAGTGTGAGTGTGTGTATATGTGTGTCCTGTCTATTTGTGTGTGTCCAGTGCCGACGGAGCCTTATCTCCACCAGCCATCCGGTTTTAGGTCTTTGGGCTGTCAGAGGCAGATAGCCCTGTCACTACCGCAGCATTCCCTTTCCCCGAGAGCCTTGAAGGCTTCGTACACCGGCTGACACTTCCAGAAAATCCCAACCTGATAAGTGCAGCGCAGACGGACGTGACTCGGCCAGCAGTCTCTCTCTCTCCTCCGTCTGGCTTTTATTTCATTATACTTTTGTATCCTTCTCAATCACAAAACTGAGACAATAAACCGGGGACCTTTCTTTGGTCTCCACAAAAAACGTCCTTTTTCAAAATAAGATAAATTAATGGATAACTCTGTTGTTCTATCTTGTGACACATTCACGTACTAAACTGTTTCCTGTTCCTAGGTTTGTTATCTACATCTGTTGGCGTGTCTTTTGCAGAGGCTCAGGCTGATGGTGTCACTTATTGGAATGGTGTATTGACCAATAACATAAATCGTACATTTAACATCTCTTCTTCTAATATTTTTAATCTTTTAACCTTAAAACGTACAGATGCCAACTCAAGCTGCATTTTTCTGGGTGTTAAAGATAATGAGAGTTAATGTTATATGGATAAATTTGTTTCAATGCATAATATGAATAATTTTTAATAACTATTATCATACAACGAGAGTTTGAGGGTAAAGTTTCAAAACTGAGTTTCCATTCAATGCAGAGATACATCCAACATGCCTGCACATATCTAAACCTCATCCAAGGTCTCTTAGTCTATGAAACGTACTAGATTCAAGAAATTTAGGATGTGGTGTTCCAGCTGCAGCCATTTTGCTTTGTTTTATTCAACTGTCTCTCCCCAGTCGCTCTGAGCACAGAGTATGAATACAGGATGGCTCAATCCCCTGCAGCTCCACTCTAGGAAAACAATGTGATCCAAGCTCGCAGCATGAAAAACACCCGAATAATGTGACACCACAATTATCAGCAATCAGATTTGTTGGTGATTACTTTATCATCAATTTTACAACAATGTCGACAGACTGATTATTGCACCAAAAACTGGAGTTTACATTTATGCAAAGACAGACCAGCAACTTGAAGTTAAAAGACTGAGAGTTTAGTCTGCTTATAACTTCATATCAGAACTGAAAAGTGACAGCCATAACTTTAACAATCAGAACTACAGATCAATTAAGAGAAGTTTCAGATTGTAAGGTTAATGTATGTTGAAGTAATCCCCAGGTTAGACTACGGGCTGCTCTGAATTGAACTTCCTTAAAGGGGCATTTTGGTCATTTTGTAAAAAGAAACACAACTTTTTGCATAGCAACAGTGAAGGAGGCTACTAGAGTGCTGGGCTCTGGAATGCTGGACAGGTCTTAAAGGGACAGTGGCTTAAATGAAGCATCTCAGACAGAGGCTGGTATGAGGGTTTTCAAAGACAGTAACCTGAAATAAGTAAAACATTTGGTAAACTGTAAATCATGTTAAGCTAAGAAGCTAACAGAGGGTCGATATAAAGATACAGAAGCATAATCCCCCCAGTTTAAGTATGATGTATGACATGAGCAAAGGAATCTGTTTGCCTTGAAACATTTTCGATCCACTTTGTTGAAAAAGATCTTTGGAATATAAAAATAAGATATTTCCAAATCAAAAATCTGCTCTGGCACATACACCTGTATTATTTTTCAGGGATGTTGAGAAGTTCAAATACACCCATGGCTGATGGACATTTGCATTTGTCCGGAGCAATTTAATGAATTCTTGTCAAATATCTGAATAATCAACAATTACCCTTTGCCAGCAGCTCTACAGAGTTTTTTGGCAACATATCAACACATTTTGTCATGGGTGGGGAGGTGGGTGTGACAAAATGTGAAGTTGGATTCACTCATCGTGACGTGTGCGGCCGACTGGTCTTTAAATGCAATAAAAAGGAGAAAAAAAACAAATGCAAATGTGACACCATGGAGGCAGCAGCAGAATAACATCACTGTCAGTGCATTATGTTGTGAGGATTGAATATGTAAATAGTGTGACTGATAGTATGAAAAGTCAGAGAATAAATTCATCTTTCTGTCATTCTTACACACAAACATAAGCTCACACATACACAGTCAATATGTGGCTGTGTCACTGCAGTGCTCAGATGGCTGTGTGTCTCATCTCAGACACGGGACGGGGGGCATCACAACAGGATTCTCGATTATCCATTTATTCGCTGCAGAGGGCATTAGGGGCCTGTCAATCCTCATTTACTCAGGCGGCTTTTGGAAAAAATAAAAACTCCAGCCATGACCACACACATTTGGCTGTGGCTGCTTTTAGCACAGAAACTCTAAAAAGAATAGTAACAGGGAATGAGCCAGTCTGAGAGTTTTTCAAGCAAATCCATTTGGAGACTTTCCCTGTGTGTTTCCTCAGGGTGGTTTGTCTTAATCCAGAAGAAGATATGCCCCACTGATTAAGAGATTTAGGGATAAGTCGAATGTTATTCCAATTTTTTCAGTGTCAACAGATTGTACAAAATGTCCATAACCATGAATGAAGAAGTCTGTTGCACAATACATTACATGACAGCAAAGCCAGCCTTCCATACTAAACACACTTCTTTAAGAAGGGATGTACAAGTGTGGCTGGAAAAGCTTAAATAACTGTGTGTATTCAATGGAAACTGCTCTGAAAAGTTCAACTTTCACAGATGGAAGTTGTAGTCAGATTATAAGACTTCAGCGATACATACAGAGGACAATCATCAACTTTCTGACCAGATCACAAAATATGAAAATGTAGACAATGTTGTCGACTAGATTCCTTTAGAAGGCACAGGAGGTCGTAATGTTATAGCTAGATATAAGTGTGCTTCAAAGTGTATTCCACTCCATGTGGCTCGTCGCCGTGGTGCTTTCAGATGCTGTGAACCATTCAGCTCAGGCATGATCAGGAAAGGAAACCCTAAACTGCTTCTTTGCTCTGCTTTGTCTGAGCAAAAGAAGGCTATTAGCGGGCAAAACTTTCTAACACATCAGAAATTCATCCAGCTGCTCAGGGGTGGCTAATTGGGCGGTGTGAGCCTGACATGACACCCCTGAACACTGCTGGAAAAACACACCTGAGAGGTGAAATTAGCTAAAATTTGACTCAGCCTTACCAGCAATTTCCATCACATCCAGAACCCCATACGAAAAGGCCGTATCCACCGATCGTAGCTGATCGTAACCATTCAAGTTAATGTGTCAATTTCCACTGGCTTCTTTCCGTACCGCTGCGGATCGCCGGACTCTGCAGCTGATCGCAAGAGTTCTATTTTTTCCAGACGCTGGAGCGTGCTGGATAAATTCAGCACAGATTAACCTGCGCTGGAAAAGTGGTTGGGCACAGACACAAAATAAAACATCCGGCTTCTTTTCAAAATAAAACACTCTGTGTTTCAACAAGTGAAAAATTTATGGACAGCATTTCATCCCGATGACACCATGGATGAGGAGATGCTGATTTTATAAGTCGAGAAGTGGGTTTCCTCCTCTGGAAGGACACAATCTACTACTTATATGGTTAGCCTATGTGGCTAAAGACAACTTGTTATCACGTGAGTGAACGTGAATCCGCGGGTTCTCGTGAGTACTCGCGATTCCCGCTGTCTGTACCCGCCACGAAATTTGTCTCACCAACGGATCCGGTAGGAATTGCCGTATGGCGAAAATCGCTGCCATTCCGGATTGGAGCCGTTGCGGATGCGGTGAAAATCCCAGGTTAGAATCAGCTCTGCAGCTCAAAAATTGCGTCAGTGTGTTTGCAACCTTAGTCTTACATAAATGTCCATATTTTTATGGGCTGTTTTGGTCTTAATAAAGAGGATAAGACCATAAGACAGGAAAGTGGGAGGAGAGGGCAGGGGTAAGCATGACACATGCAAAGGGCAGCATGGTCAGCATTAAAACTGGGCCACCTGCCAAGGTTATGGCGCCTACATAGGTTATACAATTTAATCACACTAAAGGAGTCAAAAAATAGCTTTTGATGCTTTCACTAAATTACACTACATGTTAGGGATGAAGTGATATCATTTGCTGTACTCTTGTGGTGATCAACTAGTAGATAGGCACACTGTCTCCTACATTTTAGGAAGTATCATCAGCCAATGCCATCTCAGGAAACACTAACCTTTTTTTTTATCTTTTATGGGGTTAAACATTTCCCGTTTTGGATGCACAGGAAAGAAGTCTGTAGAAAGATCCAATTTTGGTTTGTTGACAGTTAAAATAGACACCAGATGTATCCTGTCATTAGAAAATGTTACTGAGGAATATTTTGGGGACCATTAGCTTAGCATCATCCAGCCTTTGCCTTTGCTGTTATGTCTTTGTTGTGGTGTCTCTAAACTTCCCTTCCCGGGGAGCACCTGTCAGTCAAACAATGCTTCCACTATATGCCGCTGTTCCCTTTTGGATTTTCCTTTTGATGAACTTTCTGTGTGGAGTTTTCCTCCTGGTGCTGCTGGTTTTCCTTCCACAGTTCAAAGATATAAAGGAGAGGTTATTTGGAGACTCTAAATTGCCTGCAGGTGTGAAGTTTTTGCAGCAGACATTTTGATTTGCCGTGGCAGGAAAAGCACAGGTGTTACTAATAACATTAATGATGCTGCTGCTCCATTCAAGTGTCCCAATAAGACATGACAATGAAACTGAAGCAGCGGAGTGCAATCCAGCCGTGATTCATTATCACTTACACCTGTGTCTCTCCACTTCTTTTCAAGGGCTTTGCGGCATATTATCCTCATTTTTCCCTCCCCTCATTCTCCATCATCTCTCCACTGACTATTGTTTAATAGGCATAAAATGCAACCACAAAAGCAAAATCTAAAATGCCATCCTGCTCGCTTATTTTGATATTCACTGGATAATGAATACTGTGTTGTTTTTTCCAAAGGGAGCAATAAATGCACCAAACAGCACATCAGCATTGACAGGTAACATGTTGCTCAAAGATATTCATCAAAAGTGCAGCTTTGCACTGAAGAAAATCCAGCAACAAAGTATTAGTCTGGTTATTTTTCTTCTCATATAGGAAACTTTTGAAGGAGCCCTGTCTGCCAGACATTTCCTTAAAAAGATGGGGAGTAAATGAAGTGCAGTCACTGACAAGTGTATGATTTATACCTCAAATACATCTTTGACAATGTCATTGTGCGTGCGAATGAAATGCAAATGTGTGAAATGAGCTGCCTCTGGAGCGTAAGGAGAAAGCTAAAACAGTGGTTTAAAGGCAAGCTTCCACAGGACTTTACCTACCTTTGGACATTAGCACACTGAGCTGCATGTTAGCATATCTGAATTTGGTATGCTAGCGAGCTAAAATCTCATTCTCAACAAAAAATAGGACGACTCTGTATTGTACTGTATATGATAAACAAAAATACCTTTGGACTGAATTTTTGGAACAGTCATAAAAAAATGCCATTATTTTCTCTGTCACCGCTGCAAAAAACCTAACTATTTATTGAAACGACATCGACTGCGAGACCTGTGATTGGTCTGCCTGTCAGCAGAGATTTCCAGTAGTGTGCCGCTGATCCCTGTCCTCTTCCTAAGTGGCAGTATATCCACCTCCCCTCTTTCTACAATGCAATAATTGCAACGGGATCAACAGCTGCACAACATATACCACCACCAACTCAAACAGATTACACTTGATTCAGTGCAGAATCAAGTGTAATTCAGATTCACTGCAGCCAATCACAAGGGGGGATCATGGTAAAACTAGACGGGTGTTATGATAAGCACTGCCAACCAGTTTTTAGGTGGTGTACAGCAGAACGACACCCCAATGCAGACTTATGAAATGCTCATGACAGCGTTGGCCAGTATGGCATAGGCAAGACGAAGGCCGAAGGATACAGAAGCTTAAACTACACTGTAGGGTTTAACGAGGATGGTGACATAGCAGTGATCCAAGTTTGGTAACTACCCTTTAACACAAGATGGAGATGTCCTGCTATGTTGACTTCTGGTAGCTAAATACAAGATGGCAGTGTCCGAACCTCTCGCACCAAGATACACAATCAAACTGGGAAACTCATGGATCTTAAACAATTGTCGACAAGAGGACGATGTTACGCTGGTTGTGTTGGCTCCTCCGTGGCAAAGAGTTTGCCATTTCTCACGCCGCCTGCATCATGTTAAAAACCAAAGAAATAACTTAAATTTTCAATCTACAAGTGAGTTTTTTGTTTGTAGCTGCAGATAAAGTGAGGCCACACACTGTTCAGAAATTCTCTGTCCAATTTCGAAAATCTCTTCAGTGTCTCCCACTGTGTAAGGCAACAGAGTTGAAGCAATAATTCCACTACCAGCTGCATGTGACAAACTGAACAATAGCGAGGTGCCGCAGGTTAATTTGTGGTTTTGATGGATGCCGAATCAAGGCTGTCGCTGTGAGCACAGAAGAGACCACAGCAATTAGAAAAGCCCTGTTTGTGTGTGTGTGTGAGACAGAGAGAGAGAGAGAGACAGAGAGAGAGAGCTGGCTGCTGCATGCACCGCTGGGCATAAATGAGTCTAGCAGCCCGGGCAACGTAGGCAGGGCTTTAACACAACACCGCAGACACGCCTAAGACTCCCATTGTGCCTCGCACTAATCCATTTCCACCCTAACAAGCTGCTGCCTTCGAACCCAGCCATCCAACCCGCAAGCCTGTCCACCGTCTGCTGGGCTTGGTTTGGCTCCAGTTTTCTGACTTTCAGCAGCCATTTTAAGCTCTCTCTGGCAACACAACCACCCTCCTCTGCGCTGAAACAAAGCTCTAATGTTGTAGCATTGAAGTGCTGCTACTGTACTTGCATGAATGCGGGTGTTGAAAGCGGTTGGCTGTCGGTTTTTTCAGCGAGTGTTTGCCTGAATTTCTGGTCGGTGATGAAATAAATTAATGTCACTCTTACACAAGATTTAACCTCTTGGATTGAGGAGGGAAATTGTCCTCTGCATCACCTTAACGTTTTCTTATTCATCCCCCTTCAGGACTTCATGATTACTTCTCTAAACTCCAGACATTTATCCACAATATGGTGCTCAGGAGACTCAGTTGCTTTCAAACACTCGGTATAAACAGGCGGATAAAAAGCCCCTTTACTTTCTGCGCTAATAAAGCAGCTGAGACACCACAGAGAAATCAACTGTGCATTTCCTCTATTGAGCTGAAAATTGTGGAGGCACTTGAACAGCACTATTTATTGTCCTCGCAGCGGTGAACGCTACCTCGGGTGAAAAGAGCCGAGGAGCGTACAAATAAAGAAAATTAATAAGAGCATCCGACCCCATTCCGAGTGGGCCTGTTTCAAATAAGGTTTTCATTGAAATCTCTGAAGAAATGAGGGGGTGTTGTGTTTAATTCCTTATAAAACTTTCCCGTTTTGTTGCAGTTTTGCGTCTTTGCCTGACTGCGCTTCTTATCCCACCTGTTATCAAAGTGACAAACTTCCCGGTAGGCTCGAGCACCGACATACACCCACTGAGACACTGGGTGAGATGAGATAAAATGAGATAGGAGAAATGATTCATAATGAATTCAGAGGCATGCAGGGGGGAGCTGCTTCAGGTGACTCAGCTCACTGAGGCGTCTAGTATGTAAATGCAAAGTTAGAGGAGCAGAACTTTTTGGTGGCATCATTCTCTCCGAAATAAGAGTGCCCTCAGAATCATTTCACTACTGGCAGTTTGATAGATTAGATTAGTATTTGAATGGTTCTGGCCACCAATTGGCCATATTTTTGCACATATTGCTGCTGTATACTTCTTTTCTGACCTCTTGTTGAAAAAGTTTGAATTTAAATAATGAACTAAAGTCTATAAAAAGAAAACATTAACATATGTATTTATGTAAAATATGCCTTAAACGAGATGGTTTATGCAAAATAGGTTATGACAAAATACAGATATTTTTGGACCTCAATTTTAAGAGTTTTCTAAGTTGAACAAAACTTCCCACTTTAAATACTTTAGGCCATTTTTGCTGCTGTAAACATGTACAGTGGTGAAGAGAAGAGAGTTTTTGAGAGAAAGGAAGCAGTTATTCAGTATCCTAGAAATGCCTGCACTTTAAAGAAAGTGCACTCTAAAGGTGTTGCACCAAATGTTCAGTTTGACTAACTATTTACATGGTATGTAACTCTAGCTTTTAAGACAGCAGAACACCTATAATATTGTTTGATTTTAAAGTACTTCTGTCGCACAAAACTGCAAATAAAAATGTAATTTTGATGGTGAACAACAGTATGATTACATGAAGATGTAAAGGATAGTATATAGTGCTAACTACTCTAAAACAGAGTGAAGTATTGATATTTTGGTATTCATTAGCATATGCTATTATAGTGTAATTAGCTGGTTCATAGTGTTGGGTGCAGTGATGGCTCTTTATGCTGGTTACTATAAGTGTCTTCTACAGAGAAGAAGCAGCAGAGTCAGCCAGCGAGCTAGGGGTAGCAGCCCTCTGAAAGAAGATCAGACACCGTTGAATGATGTTCAATATTTGCTGTGACAACTCTGCGGGGTACTGTTACATTGAATAATTATACTTTTGAACCTTCCTTTTAGCTCTTTCTATTCAACTTCATAACTTAAGATGTGTAGAAGTAGTATCAATTTTAAAAAATAAATAAAAGCATGGTCTTACAATATAGACAATAAATAAAACTAAATGCAAGACGGTTAAAATGTCAAATAAAAGTATTAAAGATTTTTTTTATTAGGAATTTTTTTCTTGCAGAGTATGGCTACTGTGAATCAAATCATGTCAAAGGAGATGACAGATAAGTGATACAGATAAACGTGAGATACTCTACCAATCCCCAAAAGAAGTTTTCCTTGTTAGTTTGGAGTTTTTGCTTGAGAAGATGGTGAGAATTTGTTTCAATAGAATTTCCTGTCACAGGGCTTGTGAGACTGATATGACTTTGAACATTTCAGCAAATAGATGATGAGATGCAAGTCCATGTCGCCGTCTCTCTTGAAGGACGTTTTAAATTTGGCCCTTCTTTAAAGAGGAAAATCACCATTAAAATGAAAATTAATGTGCAAACTCCTGACACAATGTTCAGATGATGTGTGATTAAGGGCTCTGAGAGTATTAATGAGATTTTTATGACATATTGTGCCTCAAATTCCTGAGCTGGTGTGTGTCGTCTGTGAGGCGGACAGCGTCAGTGTGTTTTAAGTTACTGTTAGCTGGCACAAAGGCAGCCACAGTGAATATGAACAGAATGAACTCCAGACAATAAAAGGCAGCACATCAATAACTGCTAGGCTGGGCTTAGCAGGGGGGCTTATTGGTTTAATTCTCAAAATACACTGAGATGGCAGGCTGCATGAGAACAAACAACTGACGGGGGGTGTTTGTGAGTGTAAGCTTCTGCTCGAAATCCAATCTACCATCTTTTCCAACACGCACAGCAGAGCTAGTGCAAATATTAGCTCGGCATCTATTGGGAAGCAATCTGGCTGTCACCATATTGTTGTGCTTTTTATCTATTTTTTTTTTGTCTTCTTTTTCTTTTTTTTTGCAGAGGCATAAGTTAACAGAGCTGAACAGACACTGGATGTTGCCTCTGTTGTTCGGCAGCTCTAGGAGAGGTTGTTTCAGTAATGAGCAGTAAGTTCAGCAGCTTCCATCCCTACAGCCGCTGTGCCTCAGTCGGCTTGTGCAGCGTGCTGGAACAATAGCATGGTTTGTGTGTTGAATGTCATTTTGTTTGGAGTGTTAGCGCTATGAGCAGAACAGCACGGACGGTGGCATGTTGGAGTAATCCCATTACTTGTGTGGCAGCTAATCGCCTTTTATGTTGGTTTCTAAATTCCTGCAATCTGTTTGTAGTTACATTTTTAAATTGGACAGCAATATCTGCAGATTTCCTCCCATTCTGCAAACAAAGGGTTTAATTAAGAAGGACCGTGTCCAATATTTACTTTAGATTGTGATATCAAAACATGTGGAGATGTTTGATAGGACATTAATTGACAATAAACTTGAATTGTGGGTCTACTGAATGACTAAAAATCTTAATTTAAAAGGATTTAAACACTAATTACTTGCTTTGGGATTTAAAACAATCATCAGGAACACATTTGTGAGACTATAGCTCCTGTTTCTGAAACAAAAGTCAGGTACTTTTTATGACTGGAGATTTTGGGAGCTTTTTTTGAGGTTTGTTATGATGCTGTTTGAACTTAAAGCTCCTTTGAGGACTTTTTAGAATATATGGAATAGACTGGATCTCATACTGATGTCTGTTTGTGATATCTAAAAACTAACAAGACCATCAGGGACAAGATTAGAAATTTGTATACTTTAATTTCAATGCCTGAAACTGGTGTGAAGGGTATGTGTCAGCTGAGCAGTTGGGGAAACAGATGTTTCTACAATTCTGCTTGAAGAAAAAAATAATGGATTTGGCTGTTTAATGTCAGCCGGATGAGAGATTTTGTCAAAAGTCACCACTCCAACATGTAGAGGACAAGGTAAGAAAAGACTGCTTTGTCCACGAGGGGCGCCAAAGTTGACACAAACAAAAAGTTCCTCACAGGAGCTTTAATTTAGCAGTTAGGGGTGAGACTTGCCAGATGACTCAGGACATGATACAAGGCCCATGATATTTATATCTAGATATAAATATGACAATATGTGTCACAATACTTGACTAAATAAGGAATTTAGTCTTTTAATGAGATGAAACAATGCACATGTTTTTAGTCTGTAACTTAAATTCATCCAACAACATACCAAATGTAAAATAAGTTAAATAACTTCCTTGAGAACCTACAGTGAAACTTCTGACATCTGAGATTTGCTGTAAATCTCCTGCATCAGACCAGTCTGCAGCATATCAGAATGCATTTCCCTCTTGATGTGAATACAAGTGGAACTCCACGGACTTGAGAGCATCCTTCACCTTTCCTCTCATCTCAGGATGAAGACAGGGTTTACATTTTCTCTTTTTCAGATTTTGAAAGAGCTGTGGCATTTCTTTGATAATATGCAGCTGTCAGCTTCCTCTTCTTCGACCAATTAACCTCTGTTCATGTTATCCTCTTTTATGACATTAGTGCCACTGCAAGGAGTCATTAAGTAGTTAGTATAACAGCATGACATAGAGCATAGAGCAGGGAGTTATGAGTTTAGTCCCATAATAATGGCGGTAAATGACTGGTTACATTGCAGCTTTTGAGATCAGTTTCAAAAGAGTTACTTTATATAAGTCTTATTTGTTGGTTCCCCTTTAAAGTATAAAAGTTTGGGTGAATTTGTTTGATTAGTAACTATATTGTGAGCTTACACACATACATGCATTCAGAGACGTGTTTTCGCTATGAGTCAAATATGAGCGCTCTTACATCGTGACGTCTCCGTCTCTGCCTTCTTGCCCTGTTGAGCAGATGACTTTTCCTCAGTGATAATGTGAAGCCTCTATCTAAGGCGGGAGCGGTGACGTCTATTAGATCTATAAATCATGTTAGCCAAAGGGTGGAGGGACTTGGAGGGGGGGGTGCGGTGAGAGCTCAGGGTCGTAAATCTCATTACCTGAGACTGCTGCCGACCCCCCTGCCGCCTCACCCCGTCCTCAATCTCTCCCATTATCAGCTGACCTTGACCGCCAACGCAGACACTTACACTCAATCAGAGCCGCAGAGGATGTATGTGTGTTACTATGTGTGTGTGTGTTTACCTGTCATATTTGTGTCGAGATATTCTCCCCCTCCCAATTTAAACCGAGGCATGAGGGTTTTAAAATGAAAATATCAGTTTATTCTTGCTCCTGTCATCTTGTCATTGGCTTGTTTCCTTTGAGGATTAGCGCTTAAAGGTGAACACGCGCACTTTAATTCTAAATAAACAGGCTATTTTTTATCTTTAACAGATGTATGAATCAGTACTTTCACTTTTACTAGTTACAGAATTAGAGGTATATAACAAATGAGCACACCTTTAAAGGTCAGTGGTCTGTGATTGAGAAAATGGTGATTAATTAACAGAAACGACCCACACGCTGAACTTCAAGTAATGAGTTTATAGATTAAAACTTTCACAATACCATGTAAAGAGAGCAAAATCTGAAATGCATGATGAAAGGTGATCCTATTTTTCACTCTGGTGGCTGAACAGATTGCTTCTGTCCTCAGTTCTGGTCCAGCTGAGTCACTTCCCAAGCTGCTGTGAAACGGCTAATAAACCCACACCTGTAAGCACAGCATGGTTCATTTAAAGTCTAATGATCTCGTGTTGAAACACAGACCTGCAACTGCGTAGCACTCATGTTTTAACCACTGCTGGTCCTGTCAGACAGGGAGGTATGGCAGGATATGAGTTCACTGCAAGTGAGTCGTGCAGGTATTACAAGGTGGTAATGACATGAAAATCAGAGTAGAAGACTCACCTTTTATCATCCAAAAAGTGAGCTCCTACATCCTGGTGCAACTTAGATACTTGTTTAAAATACACAGTTATTTTATTGTTTTACTCGTTTTTACCCAGAAGATGGTGACATATTTACACATGACCTCAGATGCAGCTGCCGCCATCAACCACTGCAGGTTAAGTAATGCTATTTGATTGCAAGTGGCCATTTCCCCGCACAAAGTATGTTATGATACTTCGCAACTTGACCAGGCTGTGAACACTTTTTCTGCATTTTTTCTTCTTCACTTTTTTCATAACCGTGCTTTAAAAAAAAAACAGGATGATGAAATTCATTAACAACACTGACTTTGAGATAAACAGTGAAAATAATCAGTTTGAGCTCTGTTGCAAAGATGAGAGATACTTCCCAAATAACAAAGCAGGTTGAAGTAGAGGTTACAGGCACAGTTAGTTTACCATTACCTATCATACTGCTCCGTCTGAACTCTATGAAATATGTGTTAATACTGATCAACAGAGTTACAATGATGAGCTTCATCACATATCACACACATTTTGAGGCACAATTGTGATTAAATATTGACATTTTCTTTTTTTTTTTTAAACTTTCTTTCATTACAGATTTATGGTTATAAATTTAATACCAGTAACTGAACAGATCACTACTAATATTGGCATACACTGTAACATATAACTGTCAGTTGGGTTGCCAGAACTGTACAAGAAATGAATACGATACAACCTTTTTGCTCTAACAGGAAAGAGAAATGAGCGCCGCAAAATTAACGGTCCAAGTTAAAGATTAACTTTGTCAGTTTAAAATGCTGTAAAATTTGACAACAAATAACCTTATTTAAATAGTAATACCACCATACATTTTTACTGGGATTATATAATTGATAGTACCCATCTGTAATTTTGCAGCATTTACTGGTAATTATTTTACAGTATTTTTCAGTTTTTTCAATTACAGTGTTAGAGTTTTTGGCTGAGACATTAATTAACTGTAGTTTAATATTATCAAACTGCTGCTGTTCCTCAATGTTTTTATTTTTTTTTACAGTGTACCTTTGTCCTGATAATGATATCAGGACTTCAAAAGCTGATCATTAATATAGCTCAGAAAGCTTTAGTGAAAAATTATGCAAAACCTCACAAAGCTACTTTGCTTTAAAAAAGAAAAAAAACAACATTATTTTGAGTCTGCTGGTAAATTTAATTTTGTATGAACCTGCACTAACAGCTGTGAAAACAGGCTTAAAAGCTAAAATCTATTAGAGCATGATGGGTCATAAAGCAAAATTTTGAATATTCTTTCCTCCACATCATTAATCTTTAAGTGTATAACGCATAACTGTCAAGGCTAGAGGGGTACGTTTAAAATTCATTTTACAAAAGCGTCCAAGAGGGGGGAAACAGTTCAATAAGCATTTGTAGTAGTAACATGGCATGTGCTCTGCCAACCAAATGTGGTCAAGTCTTTATACCACAGTGGTATATTACTCGTGTTTAAAAATAGCAACTGCTTGGTTAAACTTGCAGAAATTTCCTGTTTTGTACAACACTAAACAGAAGCACTTATTTTTAAAAGTTAACTTCAGACCCAGCTTCATCTCCAGCTCTTATCCGTACACTTGTTGACATCACGAGCAAGATCATTAATCAGCCCAGATGCATCGAGCGGAAAACACAAGAGTTCAGCGGCCAACAATCGCAGCTCGCACTGCAGAAAAACATTTCTCTTTTGGCTGCAGGAGCTGAGAAACTTGGCAAAACTTTGACAAACAGTGAGAAAAAGTCTCGTCCAGGTCACATACGGTGAAATGTGTTTTTGTTGTGTAAATCAAGCCTCTGGCAGTGCCCTTGGATTCTCTGCTGACTGGCTGAGATCTCCAACTGCGTTCTGACTACCAGCAACATTGAAACAGACATAATGAATGTTAGGCTTCCACACAGCGTCTGGCGCTGCTTGCAGTCTCCATATTTCTCCCACTCTTCTCTTTCTTTCTCTAGTTCTTTTGTGTTTTTCTTCCTCCATCTCTCTCTCCCTCTCATATGTTAAAACACACATTACCGCTCGCTGCACTTTTGTGTGGTTAAAAAAAAAATCATTCCACATAATTAAATCTGTCATCGTAGGAACATGGCAGCATGTCCTTATGTAATCAGCCGTAGTCTTTTAAAGAAACAGAAGTGATTTGACTGCTGACACAAAAACCATTTAATTAGAATTCCTCAAATTAAAAGTAGCCTCGTGCAGAAGTGCTGATAATTCTGTCTGCAGACTCTCCCTCCTCTTTACATCATTTCCTCAACTCTCTCCCTGCCTCCTCTTTCCACTGCATCTTAATGGGTTTTCATGCCTGGAGCAGATTCAAGGCTGGAGCGAGGAATCTGCAACATTGTGGTATATCTTCTTGGTTCTATAATAACTCATATGACAAGACTCGCAGCTATCACACAACCCCCAAACTGTCACTGTTCCACTGCTGTGCCTTTGGGCTGACGAGCTCACCCTGAATAATTTAGCCACACAAGTCAGTGAGGAAGTTTTTGCCCAGAGGAAGCTCTTGAAAAGTACCACTACCCTGCGGCGCTATTGGTTGGATACCAGCAGCTTCAGTCATGTTTGATAGTGGAGGATGTGCGCTATACCAACCGCTATTAAATCCAGGTGTAAGAGAAGACATGAACCAGGCATGAGTGTCCCTGTGCGGACTCAAACGCTGACGAGAAAATGGATTCTAAAATAACCACTTTTTTCAAGGAGAGGTCTCAAAGGAGTTGATGGAACCAAACATGGTTTTAGGAACTAGAATTTTAAGAAGATACACAGAAAATCTCTGTGGGTTTGAACAGTGAGTGGTGCTCTGACCAAAGCTGCAAATATGGCACAATAATACTTTGCCAGTGCAGTTAAACGCATACTTTTAAAACCCTCTACAGTAGTGCTACAGTTTGTATCAATAACAGGAGTATAACATGATAGGCAACATGACAGCTCCCCAACAGTGAAGCCAAAAATATTTGAAACTCCACCTGCAAACTGGCCTACAAAGTTCAATAAATAATCAACTACAACTGGACTTTTAAGGTACATGTTAATGTGCTAATCTGGTGGAGATACTGATGGGGATTGGTTTTCTGTTGTCTGTACATGCTTCACAGTTTGCATGTTGGGTTTTTTGCATACAAAAGACACAGAACCATGAAGGTGTCTGTGTTTCCAACATACGACCAGTTAACCTCAGACTAAACTGTTTGTCACTTATTTTTGTATGTGGTATAACTGGTCAACCAAGGGAAGGTCCACTGGTCTCCAGACAAACTGGGGGACTATAGCCCTTAAAGCATATTTTTGCCAAAAAACCAACTCTCACCTAGTGCTTGTAAACTCAGACAGTCCAATTAAGCTGTACCTTAACTTAACTGTACATAGAAACAATCTGGATATAATAGAAAGAAGTTCTCCTCCTCTTTATCCAAGTCTTATCTGGACTTATTTAAATCCATTTAATCAGAGATTCCTTATTTTCCTGTTTTCTTTCCTTACTTTACCAAAATTGACCATTTTTTATGGACTATTTTTCTTTTTTTTTTTTTACACATGGGTAAAAATACATCACTGGCTCAGTGATTCAACGTTTTTGATAAACTGAATCAGACTGGTCCTTTCACTGGATATCCAATTGTTGTGCCCTGACAGCCAAATACACCACTGATAAAAAAAATAAGATATCAATATTTAACCATGAGGAAATATACAGTCAACAATTTTTGCCTGTTTTGAAGCTGAACAAATAGCGTGATTTATTTCCTCGTAAATACCGTAAAATAAGGAGCTAGATTGTTGACTTTTCCACCCATGAAGTGTTTTCCACACAGGGTGAAACACCAATCACTGATAATGATAATTAAAGTAGTAATGACTTTATCTCTTTTTTGTCTGCCTCATCTCACTCTCCACACACACAGACACACACACACACACACACACACACACACACACACACACACACACACACACACACACACACACACACACACACACACACACACACACACACACACACACACACACACACACACACACACATTCCAGCAGTGTCCTGTTCCGCTCTGCTTGGCTCTTAGGACCACCTGAGGGTACCACATCACAGGTTTGTTTTTCCTGTATCTGCTCCATCAGAGAGGAGCAGGCCTCATTAGTGTGTGGCCCCTGTAGGGTCCCGGGGCACCTCAAACCCGAACAGCCAACCTCCAGTAGCCCCCTGGGCATCGAGCCCCAAACACAACAAATCACTGAAACAAAAACGCGTGCTAGCATCCTTAATGCCCGAATCTTTACACTTCAAAAACACAATTATGCTAATGCCAGGAATCATTTGCCATTCCAACTCTGATTTAATGCGGCCTTTTAGTGGGGAAAGCTAATTAGAGGCTTTAATTAACATGTGCGACACAAACTGAAGAGAAGTGCGAAGGAGCCTGTCGATCATGGAGGAGCGCAGCAAGAGCGCTGGAAGAGGGAGAGCGAGAGAAAGGAAGTCTGAAAGCTATGCAAATGAGGAGAGGGAGCGCCACGGGGAGGCGTGGATCTCTGCCGCTACAACGCTTTCTGTAAATATCACCGTGACCCGTAGACAGAGAGGAGTCATCTCATTAACACAGATTGGAAGGTGTCCCCAGAACTCAGCCCACGAGGGTCAGCGCTGATACGAGGCAACCCGAGCTAAGTGAGGGTGCCATCATTAAAACGGTGACAAAACGCAGAATTTAAGGTGATACCATGTAATGCAAATACTCTCTTCCACTTACATCATCCTTTCTCTGTGTAACTACCTCGGGGCTGTGGCTCTGTGCACTGCTGGACACTCATAGACCTTTACACCGAGCCTCTGCAGATAGATATGCTGCCTGAATGCACACTGTGATTGCATTTATCGGCTCCACGCAGCAGGTTTGCAGGTTTGTGTAAATTAAACTGCTACACGTGGACCCAGGAGTCATCTCATTAACACGGATTGGAAGGTGAACTTTGCACAGCTCTGCATTATTCTGCACAACTTGAAGCTTTGGATATCATCATTACCGCAGGTAGATGCAGGCAGATAGAGCAGGTAACAAAGCCAGTGTGCAGAGCTTATTTTTGCAGCTCTGCAGATTTTACCCCAGAATAAAGTGAGCCAAAGAAAATGGAAAAATCTTAAAGAGGAGAAAGCTTTTTTTATGTTACTTAAATCTTCCTGAAGTCTAGACGAAAGAGTGTTTGCACTTTATTATCAAGTATAAAGTCATTTTAGGACTATATTCATCTCTCATTTTTATTGGTTGAGTTCCATTTTCTCCAACCAATTTGAAGGGGTAAGATTTGAAATTCATTAAAACCTTTTAGGCTGCCAGTGGGGAGTCATTTCTGCTTATGATATATGTGACAAAAGTGCCGTTTAAGCTCCTTTTACCTCCTGATTAAAAGATTATATACTGTTCAGCAATGGTGCAGGCAGTTTTGACCCTCTCTTTTCCGAATTCAACATGTCAAGTTTTCTCTGCGGTTCGTGTTAAAGCCATGTCATCATTTTGTTCATGCTTTTTGTTTAAGTTGCATTTTGTACTTTGCTTGTTAAGACCACATGTAGCCCTGTTGAAATGCTCATTATAGCTGCAGTCTGTGAAGCCTCGGCAGACAGAAGTCACTTTGCTGTCTCTGCTTTCAATCCTGTGTGCGCAGTGCACTCAAGTTTTTTTTTTCCTCCTGGGGATCAATGCAGCAGCAGGGGAATGAAAGCGAAGCATGTGTACCACTTTAAAATTCATAGAAAAAGTCCAAGCTAAGTCTTATATGAGGATTTTACTTCTGGAGTATTGATTGCCAATCTCTCTGTCTTGACCTTTGAAACTTGGTCGATGTACTTTTGCCAGGGAATTCATATGTCATGAGATTTCCCTAAAACAGTTCAGAAAACCATTAGATAGAAATTTAACAGTGCTGATCATGAAACTCAAAACCTGTTGATGTCATTTTCTCTATTTTAACCACTGTCCATTCTTAAAAGTTCAGTCAGAAATGTCTTATTGTCTCATATCACCCATGTTCATCTGATATACAGTCCAAAATGCAAATCCAGTGTTACCAATAAAGATAGTCAAACTGTTTCAATACTCACTGTCTCATCTTTGTGTCATAGTTGAGTTAAAATCAAACTAATTTATGGACTAATTTATGGACTAACAGTTAAGCTTGGTGGTTTAATTGTACTCCTCATATACAGAGCATTTTAAATTTTGAAAATAATGGCGATAAATGTTCGTTATAACCATATAACCACAGCTCTGTGTCCAAACTTCATTTTCTCCAAGTTTAAGAAAACTTAGAGACCAAAAGACAGAAAAGGTTTGGACTATAAGTACAAACTATGACTATAGACTATACAGAACTAACTTGTTTTGATTTTTTTTGTTGGCCTAATCTGGACTGATGCGTTTTTACCAGCTTAAGTAGACTACAATGTTTCGATTTTTCGATTTTTTTCGATATTTTGACTCTGTGACCAAACTAGACAGCAATGTTTAACTATTTGTCAGTTACATTAATATGTTTTGACTTTTTGCAGACTAAAATTGGACAACAATGTTTTAACTTTTTGTTGACCAAATCTAGACTAAAATGTTTAGACTTTTACAGACTCAAACTAGACTTAAGTGTTTGGAATTTTTACTGACTTAACTAGACTAAAATGTTTTGACTTTTATATCAGAAAACAAACGACTAAATGTAATCAACTCTAAAATGCATTTTAGTCCAATGACTCAGACTAAGTCTAAATTAGCTGCCAAGATGAATGCTTATATAAAAGGTGGAGCTCTCACAGTAGACACCTAGGGCTCACTTAATAGGTAGTTTTCAGTTTTTCACTCTACACACAGTCCTATTTCTCATTAATAACCTGCTGCGCTGGGTACTCGGTTCTGATTGGTAAAAAAGCAAATTTCACATTTTGCCTGTTGATGACCAGATCTGAGAGCAGTGTGAGTAGCTACAGAGCCCTAAGGATCTCTGAAATATACTGGGACGAAGCCCTGTCTTACAACATTAAAACATTGAAAGTTGCTTATTTTTTGACATTCATGTTCAAAGGTGTGCAAACTGCAAAGCCCCTAAGGGAAGAAAGCATAAGGGGAACAGAAATGTAAATATGGATCTACATGAGGATGATCATCTCAAGGAGACTTGAAAGAAAACTACTTGTTTGAAGCTTTAGTAGATAACAGGGTGACATGTAAAATAATGTATTGTGAACAGGTGGTTATCCAAATTTGATTCCCTCCAGGATTGTAATGTGAAGATCCACGCACTCATCTTACATTATCCCTTACGTAGCAGCATGAAAAAGACCCCCTTTAACCCAAAACGACATATACCAAAACTGGCAGAATAAACGATGTCTTTTCTTATGAATTAGTCATAAGAAACAATATCTTTGTAAATATACTTCACAACGGTACATGGAGCTGTGTATATTGGACTAGAAGATTGTGCCTATTTCATTTTATTGAAGTAACTTGCTTTCTGCATACTTTAATAAAGTTTTTAGCTCCACTTCTCAAGGAGTTCATGCCACTGAAAATGCTGTGTAAGTTTTGTTACTCCGTCTGTCTACAGTTTAATGTTTCTGTTTGGTCCACAGGTTTTCAATTATTGGGACTTAGCCGCCTTGAGCTGAAAAACCACCTATTCAACAAGGCCTGCAGACTATAAACTCTCCAATCTGGCAACCACCATTTTCATTATTTCTTTTCACCTCATTTGTTTAGAGTACTTGGGTTGAGAGGTCCTTTATAAATTCAAGTTATAACAATCACTGAGCAAAGTTCGGTGCATACTGAGGAGCTTAAGCCTGTAATAAGTCTTAAGTGAATTCAATTGGAATAGGACACCTCCATGGATCAAAAATAACTAAATGTGAGACTTTTCTCAGTAGTTTCAGTAGCTAATGGTTGTTTTCAGCATTTCTGTCTGTCTGAAAGTCAGGTCATATTTTATTTAGAGGAGTGTTGAAACAAAAAAGAGCTGCCACAGCGAGCTGATTCATTTCTGACTCCTCATCACGGTAACCAGATTCTTTGCGTCCTGCTGGTGTGTTGAAAAACCACACTCACAGCATGCAGCATGAAATCAGATTGTGGTCACAGCTTTTATTGACTGACCTCTTTATCAAAACCACATGAGTTTCTCTGGCAGTGCTGTTAACAGACACACCAGCTGCTCTTTTGCTTTAAGTAGATGCTCAACACTTATGGTAACTGATGTCATGTTAAACCAGATTTACTCTCTACAAATCAACCAGGACGGGAATCTTTGAGGATTACAACTTTTAAACATCACTCTTCTTTTTTTTTTTTAACTGTAGATCAAGTAAGTTGAAATCTTCAAACTATGACCAGAGCACTGCTGTCATAAAACACTAAAATACACACTGAGGGAACTTGTCTTGCGATAATGGCTGTTCTCCTCTGTGAGCACGGCATCCATCATTTCAAGGATCTTTGTTGTTAATGTTAGACAGGAGAGAGTAAGAAAAGTGAGGCTCACCTCTGTGATCAGTCTTCGGGAAGGTTTTCGGGGTTCAGTCGGAGCCAGCAGACCTCACAGAGCAACACGCCCTCTTGACCTGAAAGCAAGAAGTTTGAGGTATAAAACAGTGAAACATTTGGAGCTAGAGTTAACCATGACGTGTGATCAGCCTGATGGTGAAATCTTCATCAGGCTGGTTTTCTGTTACATGAGTTCAAGGAGACAACCTTTACAGTTTGAGCAGACATTTATTCATTTACGTATGCTCAAACAAGTTTTCAATAGTTAAAGATTATGAGGGATTTGAAGTTCCTGTGAGGAGTTATTTGACATTCATAAAATAGACTGACTTTTACTGATTAGTCAAAATGCTTTTCCACAGAAGGTGCCAAAACCGACACAAACCTGAAGTTCCTAAATTTGACTGTACATTTCTGTCAAATGACTCATAGACTAGCAATTTTTATACGAATAAAATAACTGAGTAATTTGACAAGTTTTGCTGAAAGTGTATAATCTGCACATTTTAGTTCACAAGCTCCCTTGAATGTTTTTTTGATTATAGATCCAGGTTTTCTTTCTGTGACATGACTGTGAATGAAAAACTCTCTTTGATTTACACAGCAAACCTTAAATAGCAGAAAAGCAATTCTGCAATTCTATTTCTGCAATGTTAAAAAGCTCCTCACAAGAGCTTTAAATGTGTTTAAACCAGCTGTTCATTATAGATAAGGACAAACTACCACAGTTAACCTCTGTGGGTTTAAGGTAAAAAAGGTTAAGCATAGTTCTGCTCTGAGGTATGATGGATCGTGTTGCTGACTGGCCAAAACGGCACGAGCATCATACCTGATTAAAATGACTTCAACAGCGTGTCATTGACCTGCATCCTGTTCATCTAACGTCTAAATTAATTGCACATTTATGAGCCTTTGTCATGTTTCCTAATGACTCACTGCATTGTTGTTGGCTAAAGTACATGTCTGCAGTCACAAACTATCAAACAAGGTGATCTTGTTTAAACACTCCCTGAATTAAAAATGCAGCAGAGCAACAGTCAGTTCCACTTTGGAGCATCACACCAAGGTCGCTGACTATTAAGTGGTTATAAAATATGTCCTTCATTAATATGATACAGCAGAAACTCCATAGCCTGAGGACAGAGATGGGAATAGATATCAGTGCAGGGGGTGAGCTCATACTGAGCTGATAAAAAACCCAAACACCTGTCTGCAGAAAAGCAGGGTTTAAGAGGTGCTGTTAAACGGACTCAAGAGCTTTTACAAGTACAGCTTTGAGTTCTTTATTTGTGTATCTCTAAAAATGAGCTTTTCTAAACTCTACAGCATTTATGAGGGTTTTATCATTGTACACATTTACTTTTTCACAATTTTCCAACAGCTATAACTTCAACTATGTAAAATAGATTGGAAATTTACATCGTGGATGTGCATGTACAGTTGACCAGTCCAATAATGATATAACGCTCTACTACTGGGATGTCGTCACATCGTCACGTTGGTTTAAACTGTTTGGTTATGTATAATTACTATAAAGTTTCCGCCTCACCAGATTCAGCTGTTGTTTGTTCTGATTGTCAGTAGAAATGGGAGAAAACTGAACAGATTTACGGTTGTTTCTAAGTGCAAAATTAAAGACCATAAATTGGTATTACAAGTTTTTTTTATCAAACAATCAGCAAACTATTTATTGAAAGCAAATCAAATAAACTTAAACAATCATTATTGGCCAATTGCTGTAAGTATTTGGTTACTTTTGAATCAAAGTTACTGTGGTGCTTCCATGTTAATCCTTTAATATTTAAGATTTATCCAATTCAGGGTCAAAATTATTTATTATAGGGGCACCTCTGACCAAAGGGTCTTAGCACGCCTAATCGATTCCTTAGATTGCTTTGTCCTTTCTGTCCTGTCCTCTCTAATGAAAGGTCAAAAAGCTAAAAAATAAATCTCCAAAAAAAATAAATGTACAATTTCGTTTGTGTTTATCTGTATCTAGGCTCATAAATCAAAAGAATGATAGACTGATATGAGGGTGTCTTCAGACATTTAGGGCTGCGTGTGAATGTCACACACCAAACCTGAGGTCATTTCTAAACAAAGGAGCAAATCGGTCTGTGATGCGAACCAGAGATGCCCTGACTTTTAGACAAATCAGGCAGTTTGAAAAGTTGGCCCGGGTTGTGGTTGGACTATTTTCTTACTCTCTTAGAAAAACTGTATGTTAAGATGTTGATATAAGCTTAAATGATGCGTAAACATCTGCAGCCTAGATTTTTGGATGGTGGACTCTTGCTGTATTTTGTTCATGTGTCGGCACTCTTACTCCCCAAGCAAAGATCTGAATATAAATGGGTGAGAAATGCACAAAGCCATGTTCATTTTGGGCTCATTGCTTTAAAACATTACTTGTCCTGCAGTAAATGCAGATGTTTCAAAATGTTTGACGTACAGCCGATATTCAAAAAGTGAGATCTGCTCTGAAGAGTGCTCATATCTGTATCCGTCCTGCAAGAGCAATAAACTGAAAGAAAATTCTCATTATGTCTGCAAACAGTATTTCATAGCGCTCATGAAGAAATCAATATAATGTAGAGAGAGTCGGAGCTGGAAAAAAATAAAACAAAATGGTAGTGTTGCTGAGGTTGGCATCAGAGGGGCCTTTATAGTGAACTTGATTAAAAGAAAATTGCTTTCAAGTGCTCTCAGCAGGCTGGGAGGTTGAGTGGGAGTGCTCTTCTGTGGAGTTTCACAAACCAGGCTTTCGGGGTGAGGAAACAAGATGAAGAAACGCTGTGAAACCGCCTGAGGACAAAGAGTGTGGAGGCACTGGTGACATGGTGGCGCAATATTACCGCTATTATCATTTTCAATATGTTTTCCATCTGCATGCACGTCTGAGAGTGGAGAAATGTAATTCATCTCCGTTCTAATTTTTTCTCTCTTACTGCCTCTTTGTGATCACAGGAATCGCAGCTGTGATGTAATTTAAATTAACTTTGATGTAAATTAACTTTCGGTTGAATATTTAAACCTGAATCTTAATTTTTCTCTCTTATAATTTAAGTAAATCTTTTCACACCATAAAGCGGCATTTAAAGCTGCGTTGCATCTCACTGTGACTACATGAAAATTAAAGAAGGGTGAGAATATGTGTATGCATGCATAAAATCACCCCAAAGGCATGAAAAATAAATGAAAAAATAAATTCACATAATTGCAGGTTTTAGCTTGTTAAGTATTCACCTGACAGGAGTGTCAGATGGATGGGGTCTTTAATTTTGGAGCTGTCAAATTTGTGTAATTTATTCCCCTCTTGAATTGAAAATGACATCAGGAGATCAAATGCTGTCCCTGATTTCCATGAAGTGTTCACCTAATTGGCTTTTAAAGGGTGGAGCGAGCGCTGGTGAATAATTTAGAGCCTTGGTTTTTTAAGTAGTCTGACTTTGGGGAGAATAATATTGGAAATCCATTACTGTGCAGGGTTAAACTTTGTTTTTAGAGCCACTATCCTGAAATTAAATTTGCATTTGATTTGATTTGAATTTATTTCCTCATCCAGGAGCTCATTAAAAGATATTATCAGCCTGTCCATGCGTGAGCTTTGGACATACATAATGTCCAAAAAAAGTAAAACTAATTTCCAAACACAGATCAAGTTTAGTTTAGTTGAATCTGCTTCCAGGGGTGTTACTGTAGTTTAAGGGACTGTAGTCTTCATTACAGTGGACACTGGTTTAACTCCCAACCATGAACATTTACTCCAGGTCTTCCACACCCTCTCCTTCCCACGTCTCCCTTCAACTCTCCAATAAAAGGTATAAAATCTTCATTATAGCGTGAACTATTTCTGCAAACACATTCACCAGCACCTGAGCATAATCTATTACTCATCTGCATACGTTCTATTGTGCGTAATACTAAATGACATTAATGCACCTGTTGACACAGATATAGCGTGGGGGGCTAAGTCATTTATTTCTATTGTGTCACAATAACAGATGTCAAAATTACTCTACTTAACCCGACTGTGATGTAGCTCTGTGGAAATAGAATCAACCCAATAAATGAGTCAATGGTTTGTTCAAAATCTAGGAGAACTGAAGAAATATTCTGAGAAAAAACAAGTCGCACTGGACAGCTCAAGGTAGCTGATCAGTCTGCTCTCTGTTTTCCAGATGAATGAATCTCCAATGATTTATTTATGGACACCAAAGGATCTCCATGCTGATTGGCTATGGTGGAGTGAGTAATTCGCTGGAGTCGAGATTCTTCAACTCTCGCTAACAAGCAGATGAAGTGTGAACAACGCTGAACTAGTGATTGTTCATCATCAGCCCTTACAACCCGCTAAAGTCATGCCAAACATGAAGTCCAGCATATTGCCCTCCAGTTAAAAAATTGGTTTTCTTTTGATTATGAAACATTTAAGATGTTAACATATAAGCCCTCCCGATTACATGTACGTTTAAATGTATGCCTGAATTTTGCTAACCAGCTCCTGGCAGCAGCTTCTTTAGAAAAGGCTGTGGCATCCATCTTCTCCTCTGGAATTTTCTCCAAACTGTTCCTTTAAATGTTCAACATTTCATGCATTTTATCTCAGTTTGGCGCCAACTGGGTCTGGAACCAATCCCAGCATGCACTGGATGAAAGGAAACACCCGGTATGAGCTGCCAATATAGTCGCACTTCTAAAAAGGCACAAATCATCAAATTTGCAAAGATCCAGAGAAAAAAAACATAAATATTTTAGCATCCAAACAGCGGCATCACTTCTTTAAGTTTTATCAACACTTTTTGGAAACCCTGTTCTTTTCCCTCCTTTTGTGGGAAGAAACTGTGTGATATACGGAGCTGACAGCAGCTGGTAGGGACTTGGCATTCGACAGAACATGTAGCCTGCAGACAGACACCGAGACAAGATGGGACACTTCAGTGACCACGCTCAGATGGGTGAAATCCCCCGGTCCGACAAACTCATCCCACACGATCGATAGCTCCTATGACAACAGCCCCTCTCGTCACAGGCTGCAGAACAAGCTGTTGTGAAGGTCTGAGGATGGAAGATAGGCCCCGGAGGGGAGGCTTGATTTACGAGCCCAAGTCAAGACAGAGGCACGGTCGCCCACGCGCTGGAGACGGCCTTCCTGAAGCATTCGTCTCCCTCTCCCTGCCTGCCTGCCGATGTGCTCCTGCTCCTTCTACCGTCTATTTGCCTGCCTGTTGACAGCAGGAATGGTCTGAGATGACATACCACCAAGAGAAACATTTCATTGTGTTCTCTCCCTTCAGTTGGATCTCCTGGATGGTGAAATCCTGAATGTCACTTTTGGCTTATTTAGCTGTTTTTCACAAACTTAGCCAAAGGGCGCTGATGTTTAGATGGATAATGCAAGACAAGGAATTAATTCTAACGTCATGTCCCCATCAACCAGCGTGAGAACAGACTGATGACGTTCAGGCGGTAAACTTTTCAATGAAACCACCAAAAGGAAAGAGACACAGGGTATTTTTCTTGGAGGACGCACCCTGCGGTGATCTAAGACACTGAGGATTGTGTTTCAGTGAAGAAAACAAACGTTGAACTAGGTTTGTTCTGTCGGCACAGAATCATTACTGACTGGAGGAGTGACTGCTGAAACGTGTTTGTAAAAGTTGCCCATGAAAATATGGATTTTTTTCCTCTTCTCTAAATCATTATTCCGTTAAAAGACAGAAAATGGATTTAAGGGCAAAAAGAGGATTTTAATATCATCTTCAAGCAATTTCTTTATGGTATGATAAAAGTCTTGTATCAGTTATGGGTAACAACCAGCATTGGATTGGTTATTTTGCCTAGCACTTCTGTGATTTGTATTTTTATTTTTGTGTGTTGAACGTAGAGTAATCACTTAAAATTCAAGCATTTGAAGATGAAATTCAAACTTCTTTTGGGCGTCAAAATGGTACAGGTACATTTTTTCCCTCAAGTGGGCCAGGCTCTGCGTTTAAATGGGATTTATGAAAAAATGTTGATGGACCCATTGACCTAGCACACGGCCCTTAAAAAAGAGGCTAGTTCTCCTTGCTACAACTCCTTGCTGTGACCATTTACTGCACGTCGATCCCCGCTCTCTTCTCTTTTATGCTGTCAGACCCAATAAAGCCAAAATGTTGTAGTTTCAGACAAATCTGAAATGTCATTGGCGGACCGTTAGATATTGGAAATCTCTGTTGTTAATGATGTCATTGTACATTCAATGTCTTCTGGCTGAAATGGCTGAAAGGAGGAGGTGTTCATTTTCTTGAACCATGAGTACCAACTCACACCGCCTTAATGTATCTTAAACTTGAAAAGTTTTTTTTTTTTATTACTTTTTGAGCTCTGGTGTTGATTTATCCTCGTGTGTTGATATGTAAGGGAACATATTTAGTGTGACATTTCAAAGTGTTGACTAACTCTAAATCATCAAACACATTTATTTGAAGTCCAAGAAAGCTTTAGTGGTCAGAGACGAAGTTTTTTTTCCCTAACTGAGTCAGTGTCACTCCTCTATGTTACCACTTTTACCTGTATGCGATGCATTTTCCTTTATTTAAGCAGAACGGCTCAACAGCTTTGCGCAATGTGAGATTCTTCAGGCTTCATTATGCAACTAAGGTAATGAATCCAGAGTTGCTTCAAGCTAGAGTGTTCAGAGAGGGAAATGCTGCAGGTTTTAACATTTGTGCAACTGCGATACCAGTGTCCGATTGGCAAAATAAATTTGAAAAAACAGAGAAAACGATTTAACAGGAAGAAATGACTGAAATGTAATAACTTTGTATTGACCAAAACTGAAATGTGACAAAAACCAAGAGAAATAAAGCTGAGACTACACAACATTTTTGTCCTAAGGCTGAGAATACGACAGAACCAGTAAAAATTGCTAAAAGTAACATTGGTTTGAATTAGAGACTGATCAACCTTCAATAAATCATTTACACTAAGCTACTCAAGTAAGAAAATAAGATCCTTTTACAAGCCATCTATTATGACCTTTTAGGGATATTAATGTTTAAAAATATATATACATACTTTTAAACCAAATTGCAAAACATTTTATTTGTACTGCAGGCTGCAGATAAACAACTGTCCACATTTGGGACTTTAATCTTTTTTGTTTGACATTAATAACTGAATAAATTCATGAATCAGACCTTTTCAAAACTTCTGTACTTAAGTTTTCAGTGTAGGAGTTGTTGTAGGAGTTGAGACAGTGTTATGTTGGACCCACAGCACTGTAAGTTGATGTAACTAACTTTATGTGAGCGTGTAACACAGCATCGATGTTTCAACACATTTCGAAGTTCAGCATAAATCTCTGATCAGATCTGCTTCTTTAGCTCATATCCGCACACTCTGGTGATATTTTAAGATCTGAAGTCCCCCTAACACCACCACCCCCCACTTTTCTAATTTATCATGCTGCTATAGAGTGAGTAAAGACACCCTGCCTCCATGTCTCTCCCTCCCGAGCCGTATCAATATTCATGGGTCTGCCGGGTGCGTTTGTGCGATGGCTGTCTCATTAGCCTTTGATCCCCTTGCGCGAGGCCTGTCGGAGCGTTGATGCACCAACAACAGAGCGGTGTTTGAAGTGCAGAGGGAACAGCTGCTTGCATTGATCTCCATATACTTTCCTTGCCATGCACACGCTGGTCCACACAAACACAGATGCTGCCCACAGGCACATGAATACATGCATCTACTGTAGGAATACTGGGAGTACAGTCTGACCCCAACTCTGCTACAACTGCAACTGAACCCGGATTATCACAGCTTGATAGTAGGTGATGCAGGAAGCAGAGCTGTAACACGATGTGACTTCATCAGTTTTTCAACAACAAAGAAAAGCAACAACAATTTGATAGTCTATCACTTATGAGATACTTAAAAATGTGAGTACAGCTTATTTTAAACATTATTATGTGTTACTTTACAGGATCAGGAAAATAAAAATGAAAAAATTGTGGTTTTCCAGCCTCAGACCATCAATACTTGTATTTTGAGGATTTCCCTAAAGGGGGCTGAATTTCTTTGAGGCTCTGCAATCCCTAAAATAGACTTTCTTTACCATGACATCATATTTAAGAGACTGAAAAATTCATCAATTCATCTGAAAAATAATCAGCCTGTTAAATGAATGATGAAAATGAAGATTAGTCACAGCCCCAGAAATACAAATTAAAATGTAAAAGGCTCAATGTGATAATCCTCAATCAAAAGATGAATAATTCGCATGATAATGAGACAAATCTGTCAAATGACATGCGAGATATTTCTATCATACGTCATCTGGATCAAGATGTGAGGATGGATCGTCTTTTAAAGCCTCAGCTCATCAACAGGTATCATGCAAATCATACCAGCTAAAGAAATAAGGATATAAAGACTGTTTAAGCTTTGAGTTTATAAAGATCATTTGTTCAGGCTCCTTTTTTAATAAGACAGATATAATAAACCACTGAGAACTGTGCTGGAACAAAACAGCAGCAGAAACAGAAATACAAACTGAAATCATGAACATTTTGATCGATGACTTGCTTGTAAATTTATTTCTCTAATCTCAGCATTTTATGTCTGATAATCTTATAGAAAACTAACTAACAACAGTCTGTGCAGAAAAATGGGTAAAAGCATCCAAATGAGATGAAATCGTGTAACCCCGCCACAGCACAACTGCTGCTCTACAACAACGACCCTGAAAAATTACAGCTGCACTTAACATTTACATTTTTCTGTAAAATTCTTCATATAAAGCCCACAGAGTTACATTTTTTTACTCTGTACCACAAGCCAACTTCAGTCAGCACAGTAAATTCACAAATCACCTCTACTCCTCAGTCTTATTCTAAGTTCATCATCACAATAGGTTGGTCCACCTCTTTCCTAATTTGAAGACATATTCGACCACGCAGCCGCTCGCTATGACATCATGACATCTGCACAAAGACCGTCCCTGCGCTAGTCCACTCAATAATTCTCCACTCTGCTCTGAAACACTACCTGCTGCATGTAAAGAGCACAGCCACGGATTAAGACTATAGGTTGGCTTGTCTAGGCTATTGCCCCCCTGGGAGCAGGTTAGCAGATCGATATCACCGATGAGCCTGATAACATTAAAGTGTCCTTAATGGCACTAATGAAGAGAGTGGTTGACAGATACTCAGGGGGGACTTTGATCAGAGGAACAGTCTGTTCGCCACAGAGCCCGGTGAGTTCATAAAAAAGGCTTTTCACTTCTTTTTTTTGGCACATTCAGATGTATTTGTGTGTGCAGCTGCATTATAAAGTGCATTTATTCATCATTTCCTAGAAGTGTCTGAAAGGTCTAACACCTCGTGAGAGATGGAGCACATTTACTACTACTGTAATACGGTCAGAAGAGCATATTTATAAAGTAAACTGAGTAGGAAACCATCAAAAATGATTCATTTCTGGAAACTATAAATGAGTGTTTACAAAAGTCAAACTTAACATGGGAGTAGAAAATGCTGTAAACTGAGCATACATACAAATGTCTTTAAAGGTCTGGTTGCTGAATTCTGTAAAATGTGAGTAAAAGATCAGAGGGAAAAGAACAAAAACACCAAGTTTTTGCCCTTTTTTCCCCCCAGTATGCTTTTAAGCATCAGGTCACACTTTGCTGGCGATGAATCTGATTGCCGGAAATGTTATCAGTCTTCAAATGTCAAAGAAGCCCCATCTCAGCAAAATCTGCGCTGACATTTTGATAAATAAGACCCTATTTTGCTCCATCTACTCGTACACACATCCAAGCGTGCGCGCACACACATCGAGAGTGAGAGAGGGAGAGAGAGGGAGAGAGAGGGAGCAACCTGCTGCTGAAAAAGCCTCATACTTGGCAGGATCTTTGCACACACACTTTCACACCCCCGGCGTCTGACTGCTGCTGGTTCACAGTCCTGATTAAAAGGATGAGAGGGATGAAAAGAGGAGAGGCACAAAGGAGACACAGAGACTTAACATACCTCACAGCAGACCTCTTGGATTGAACTTCAGGATGCACCAGGCGGGCGGGCAGGACCGTCGACTTCGCCCCGTCTTCTTCCTCCCCGTCTTCTTCTCTGGGATGGAGACTCAAGAGGAGAGCTGCTCCTTCGCTGCTGCTGCTGCTGCCTCCTCCTCCTCCTCCTCCTCTCCTCTCTGCCTCTGGCTCGCTCTGAAACTGTCTCAGCCCCTTCTCACTATCATACCTCCCTCCCTCTCTGCTCCCCCTTCTTATTTTTCCCCTCCTCTTCTTTACTCCTCCTCCTTTTATGACCTGCTCCCTCCTGACTCTCCTTCCTCCTACACCACCCTACTCTTCAAACTCATTGGTGACTAAGAGAATTAAGGCTTTTATCAGTAATTTTTCTGCAGAGTCTGGTTGCTGTTGAGCTTTAAAATAATCCCCATCGTCACTGTTTTAACACCTGCTGAGGTGTGTCAGAAAATCCAAATGTGTTACAGCTCTGTAGACTTGCTCTTTAGCTGCATTATTTTGAGTCATTTGGTCTTTAGAACCAATTTAATCATCTTTTTCTCTGTTGCAGTTCAAAAAAAGGAAAATCCACCATTTACACGACTTGTTTACTGCAAATCCTAAAGATGTCATCATTGTCGTCTTCTTTCATAAAACAGTGTGAGAAATCCGAGACTGGAACCAACAGATCTGGGATGATATTTTTGAAAGTGGAGGAAATGTCACTGAATAGATGACAATTTTTAAGAAATCAAACCAATTTCAAGTGATTTTTGCATTTTGGGCTTAAAAATGTAAAAGAAGAGTCATTTATTATTCATATTTAAGATTTTTCTTTAAATTATTCTGAAATGATTTGCATGTGTTGCTTATTTTAAGTTTATAGAAAAGATTTATGAAGGTTTTTCCAAGCTCTTCATTGTTTATACAACAAAAATCACAGAGGAAGAGAGAAAATGATTGATAATTTTCATACAGGAGCTGAAAATCCATATCAAGAAGCTGTGATTCATATTTTGCACACTGGGCCATTGAATTCTATTGCATCTGGTGTCTTACTCATGGCTCTCCCGCCATTTCCATGAAAAGAAACTGCTGAGACAAAGCCAGAGAGAAAAGAGAAAGGCACTTATGGCTCATTCAGGTGCTTCATATCAAACTAAAGCATCAAGCTGTGGTTTCAAAACTATTCATATCTATATCCTTGGGAACCTGGCTTCTTTTGAGCCAGATCTGCGTCAGATAACCACTCACAGATTCCTCAGCACTGGCCAGTTCTCAGGCTTTTTTCCCTCCCTCTTTCTTTCCCCCTCACTCCCATAGAGAGCCCTGCGCTGCCTCTGCCCCTGTTTCCATAGTGACACTTTCCCCGACTCTGGCTCCACATAATCAAGTGAACGGGATAGGGGTGGGGGTTGGGGGCGAGAGAAGACACTGAAAGTGTGTGTGTGTGTGTGTGTGTGTGTGTGTGTGTGTGTGTGTGTGTGGAGGGTATTGAAGGAATGGCATAAACAGAGAATGATAAAAAAGGGCAAACAGTGAGAGATAAAGCAGTAAATAATGAATAAAGAGAATGTCAATAAGAATGGTTTGTTGGTAGCAAACAGCGTCTCAGGCTCGAGGCCATCTCTGCCGGATGTTTGGTCTGAGCAGGTGCTTTGGAAAGCGTTGGCATATGGCTGAAATAATTATCATGCTCATCAAACAACTGGATGGCCACTCGTGCTTTGGGACAATGCTCCCACCAGAGCTGAAATGAATTATGGGAAAGACTTGATCAATCTGAATTTTAATGTAAGTGGTGCTTATCAACTGACTATTGTATGATGCCAGATTGTGTAAACCACCCCAGATGCTGGGGTAAAGATACACAAGTTTTTACCAATTATGACTGCTGCAGCCATTTTACAAAAAGCTTATAAAAATGAACAGCATAACAGCTCTAAAAAGGTGAAGCCAAAAGATCTAAGGTTCCTCCTATCTACTGGCTGCAAAGTAGATCATGAAGCCCACCTTCTCCATGTAAACAAACACATGTCAATCTTTAAAGTTGAAATGCACTTTGAAAAAATACAAACATGGTTTTAGTTGTTATGATCAGTTCTTATCACACCGATAAGAACTAAGACATGGAACAACATGACATGACCCAAGACATGGTAAGATATAATATGATACAACATCATACAATATGGCAAGGGTGGGCAATTAATTTTTACATGGGGCCACATGAGAAACCTGAATTGTGTTGGAGGGCCGAACCAACCACCCGCGACTCACGAGTTTTACAAGCGACTTCAGAGAGAAACAAGCTCAAGTCTTTTATAATAAGCGGACTTGGCAACTAAAAGGCGTACGAATATTTTGCCGATGTTTAAACTTGTCTCTGTTCACGAATGCAGATGTAGGATGTACGCACGTGCGTCCAAACGGAAATAAAACGACGGCTAGGTTTTCAAAATAAAAGCAACACACTTGTATCGCATGTTGATGATTTGATTGACAGACCTCATGAAGGGCTGGGCAGGGACATCCAAAGGGCCGGATGTGGCCCCCGGGCTGTGAAATGCCCAGGTCTGCAATATGGTAATATGACACAAGACACTATACAACATGATATGAAATTATACAAAACGATCCGATACAACAGAACATGACACAACGTGATACGGTATGATACAAGAAAAGATACGATACAACACAATATGTTACGACACAATATGATAATGTGATAACACAAGATGTGACGCAATGTGAAAAAACAGCATAATTATATGCAAACAGAGAACACATGCCAAACAGAGAACACATGCCAAGGCCACCACAGCAAACAAGCCACACATCTTGCTCATTACTTATTTGATGCTACAAGACCAGTGTAGGCGCAAACTTACAGCCCTGACAAATGCAGCTTTAGCAGCAAGAGAAGGTCTGACTAGGGGCTGTTTTTGTCTTATTTTTGCCGTATGTGAAATGGGGACTCATTGTCTGTCTTTATTTCACTATTTTGATGGTCTCAGTTGTTCCTGTTGCTATTTTTTTCATATTTACTTTGCCGTTATCTCCCTTTAACAGTTGTGCCTGAAGCAAATCCCACAGTCCAGATCACATGATACGTCTCCTCTTTACATGCGCCTTCAGCTTTTTTAACATTGGCATTACTGATGGACTAAGTACCAACAGTTTATGGATTACAATTTGAATTGTAATGACTAGATTAAAGTGACTAATCCCTGATTTTTTTGTTGTTTGTTTGTTTACCTGTTACTGTGACTTTGACGAAGCACGGAAGAATATTCAGGGATTGAATTTCCTAAACAGATAAGCTTGCCACAGCAACAAAAACACAGCTTTGACTCAAGCAGAACCACTGCGCAGGGTAGCAGGCTCCTGTTGGAGGCAAAATAAATGAGGCTCAAAAATAAACTAGCAACCAGCAAGAGCCCCCATGAGTCATAAGAATGATGGTGCTGGCGCAGATCATTGTTTTGCCGCATTGATCCATGTTGAATGGGATCACCATCGACTGCTGTCCTTCTTGTGTGATCAACGAATGGAGGCAAAATGGCTGGTGAACTTTCTAATTCTCTATCGATTGGCGAGCTGTTGTGTTGCTGCTCGACTCCCAGCCACCACCAAGAAGGTCAGATTGCAGGGTCAGCAGCTCGAGGACCAGGTACAGATTTAGAGTTGTGATTAAAAGGACACTTCTGCAGGGTGGATGCTGGGGGTTATGAGGATCGAATATGGGATTTCATGGCTCTAAGGACAGATCCTCTGACCATGAGGATGCTGTTGTTTTGCTGAGGGAAACAGAGGATGCACTCACAGCTGCAGCACCACAAGAAAATAAATATCTATTTATTAATGCTCAGAGGAGCTGAGCGGGATATTGTGCAGCCACTTTGGAGGATATCAAAGTCCCTTTATGGTCCCACCAAGAAAAAGAAATATTCATTTATTTTATCTGTAGTTTTCCTGTGTTCTTTCAGTACAGGAGGATTTTTTTTATATCACTTCTTACTAAAACATAGAGATGTCCTTTTTTAGTTAAGGGCATCATTAATCAGCATAATTCTCTTTTGAATCAGGGAAAATTTAAATTATGCATCTTTGTTCACAAAAGCATCTTGATTTTTTAACATAAAAATTACTGTGATACAGCTGCACACTTTAATCACTGGGTACAATGGCAATTTTTTACCGTCGAGTGTTTTCAACCCAGTTAATGACTTTATAGGCACAAAACACACAGTGACTCAGCTCAAACACGGTCAGGAGCTCAGCCTGGTAAGAACTGTGACTTATACCAATCAGCCATAAAATAATGACCCCTGACCCTCATCTATCATGACTTTGCAGTGGTATTTGTCAGTGGCTGGAAGAAGTTGGGCAACAATGGTACTTTTTGTTCTCCAAGTTGATGTGCTAGAAGCAAGAGAAATCTTTAATAAGGGCCAAATCTTTGGTGACTAGACAACTGTGTCAAACCATCTCCAAAACTACAGCTCCTGAGGGGTGTTCCTCGTCTGTATTAACAAGACTCACTAGTATATGTGGGCAGCACTGGCTGGCCAGTGTGGTCCAATCCAGCAGAGGAACTGTCAGAGCTTTTTACATTGAGGGCTGCAGACCAGTCAAAGCCCCGAGCTAATGCCGAAAGTGCCAAATGGGTGCATGGCACCAAAACTAGACCACAAAGCAATGGGAGAAGGTGGCTTTGAGTGACATGTCAATAAGCCCACTGTGCGACATGACCTTCCAGTCCAATGGACATTCAAATCTGATCCATGGAGGCTCCACCTAGCAACTTCCAGGATTCTTGGAGCCAGATTTCACGGCACACATTCAGAGGTCTTTATCTTGTCCGTTCCAGACTTCTTTGGCCCTGACCTGATAAGAGGTGGGCCTAGACAGGTAGGTGGTCATTAAAGGGATATTCCGGCGTAAAATTAATTTAGGGTCAAACACACCATAACATCGAGTTAGACACCCCCTCAAGAGATAAATGTTACTGACCACTTGCTTCTCTAGTTATACCAACTTTAGTAACGACCGCACGATAGCAATACACAGCGGTCTAAGGACAAACCTCAACCAAAACGTCACTCAATAGCCATGAATAATGCTCAGAACAGCTCCTAACATCATCAACAGTACATATAGGGTCCCAGCCATAGTACTAGCCACCAAACATCTTTTTAGCTTTGCTTACTTTCTTTAGCAAAGAGACTAAA